AAAATTTAAAATTTTTAAAAAAAAACTGCGAGTGTTTTTCGACGACCGGATGGCGTAGTGGTTTGTGTAACGGACTGCTATTCCAAAGGTCGCGGGTTCGATTCCCGCTCAAGTCAAACATTTGTGAACATGAACATTTAATGTTTGATTTGATCTGGGTGTTTCTATGTATAATATGTATGTATTTACAAAAAAAAAAGTATATATGTATTTATATCAGTTGTCTAGTACCTATAGTACAAGCCCTGCTTAGTTTGGGACTAGATGGCGTTGTGTGAATGTGGTAGAACATTATTATTATTATTTTATTTCATTCTATATTTATATACAAAAACAAAAAAATAAAATACATTTAAAAATATAAAAAATAGTATCCCATCGGTATCGGGTACAGAGACCAAGATATCGGTGGTTAGGACTCCAGAGACAGAAACTTCCTCACAATACGTTCCGTATCGAGAAGAACTGCTTTCTGCATCAGACCCTTAATCCAACTGCCTAACGCGAGCCTCTGAAGATGTTGGTCGAGGCTCTTAGCAACTAATCCATGGTTATTATTATTATTATTATTATCTATAACGTGGATATATTTAGAAATATTTAAGTAAGTTTATCAGCAGCCTGGTCACTTTAGCACAGGCTCTGCCTAGTTTGGGATCAGACGGCCGTGTGTGAGATGTGTGAGGTTATTATTATTATTATTGATGTATAAGATGGCTTGCACTGCCCGTGGTCACGTCTCAGTCTGTGTACGGCCATTGCAACCTGGTCGCATCTCCAGGCAATTCAAAGGTATTTAATTCCTATTACTTGATTGTGCTATTTAACGTGTAAATACATAATTATATGTTTATACTCTATTTTATACTAAAATAAAATATTTATAAAGAAGATATAAAGATTTTGATTAAAGTGCAAGTTATGAATTAATAATAATAATATTGTACCACATTCACACAACGCCATCTAGTCCCAAACTAAGCAGAGCTTGTACTATGGGTACTAGACAACTGATATAAATATATACAGGGTGTAAGGGACATCTTAACTAATACTGAAATAGTGTATTCAGACCATAATTACCATAGTGCATTTCAGTATTCGTTACGATGTCTCTTACACCCTTTATATACTTTTTTTGTAAATACATACATATTATACATATAAATAACCAGACTAAATCAAATATTAAATGTTCATGCATACAAATGTTTGAATTGAGCGGGAATCGAACCCACGACCTTTGGAATAGCAGTCCGTTACACAAACCCACTACGCCATCCGGTCGTCAAATTGTAATAATTTGTTGTAGAGGTGATCGTTTAATGATAAACCATGTGTGTGGTGTTATTTACCAATAAATAGTCTTAACATTTATTTAATAAATGCCTATGATAAAAAGGAATTCCTTCCTACTGCTGCAACTCCTGTACACCATAAGGTCAATAGGGAATATGCATGTATTTTTTTTATTTTTTTTAACGATTCTACTAGTTATTACATTACCAAAAATAAATATAACACATCCGAAATATAACCCGATTATTTATATCACTATCATTTTAATGTTAATATCACTATCATTTTGGGGCAATTTGAACACGTCCATTTTGGCGCGCTTTTTTTGTGACGTCAGATTACACTTTCAGACGAATTCGATGTCAACAACGGAGTGAAGTTCACAAAGTTTGTGAAAGTTAAAAAAGTGAGTGATATAAATTAACTTATTACCATGGAAAAGCCCATAAAAACTTATCATAAATATTGTGCCGTTCCTTTGTGCCAAAATAATATCAAAACTGCACCTGACAAAGTAAATTCAGTCATTGGGTTGAGTCGTTCTACATGTGAATTTAATAATTTAACACTGAAAACGTATTAGTTATTAACTTAAAATGAAACAAATAATCACCAGAAACCAAATATTACAAATACACACAACTTGTTGACACTCTTGACAGTGTAGGTTGACGTCACGTTTTATTCAACCAATAGCGTTGCGTTTTAGAAATTTGCGAGGGAATCTTAAAAAAGCCAATTTTGATGATTAAATTTCACTATTAAATTAAAATAATTTTCAAAAATAATTGTATGGGTGTCTTTTTTTAGCAATAAAAATTACAAATAAAAATATTTTGTCCATTTTGGTGTCTCGTGCATATTCCCTATTACCGTAATGAAAATTCGACCAAAATTCAGTTCCGATAAAACTCTCGATCTCACAACTATCATAAAAGATATTTTCGTAGTAATGTATAAATATCCAACGTTGATTGTAATGTAATTATATGGTATTGGGACCGAAAGTTGAAGAAATTGAAAATCAATATTTTGATAGTCTTAATTTTTTTTATGGTATAAGGGGGACAAACGAGCAGACGGGTCACCCGATGGCAAGCAACTACCGCCGCCCATGGACACCTGCAACTCAAAAGTCACAAGTGCGTTGCTGCCCTTGGAGTCCCTCCTCGAGTCAGCGGGAGGGGGGATTTGGGCTCCGGTAACCTCACTCACTCAGTGAAAGGCAACGAAAGAATCGCTTAACAGCGGTTTTCTGTGAGACCGTGGTATCACTCCGGTCGTGTCGGCCCATTCGTGCCGAAGCATGGCTCTCCCACGGTAGTAAGTGATATTCTTCTCACTCTGTTTTTATTATACTCGTAGCTGAATATAGAATATAGCTTATTGTTGATAATAAATTAAAAATAAAAATTATGTAATTTATTTTCAACAAACAAAGGAATAAATTTTGTCCATTTTGCAATATTTTTCATCGACGCTCGGTTTTTATCTTACTTAGCCTTACTCGATAAATGGACTATCCATAACACTAAAAGATTCAATTCAAACAGTAGTTCTTGAGTTTAGCGCATTGAAACAAACAAATTTTTCAGATTTATACTCGTAATATTAATTTGACTGCACGGATGCCGTAGTGGTTTAAGCGGTCGTCACGCCGCTTCCTACTGCGCCGAGTGTTGTAGGTTCAAACCCCACATGGGACGACACTTTGTGTGATTCACAAATTGTTGTTCTGAATCTGGGTGTTCTTTGTGTCCGTTTCATGTATGTTTGTAAAGTCCCCCGCGACACAGGGATATATTCCTAGTGCGGGAGTTTTCTTTAAAAAAAATGGAAAAGAAAGGAATTGATATAGATTTATCATAGTATACCTTGAGCAGGTCAAGTGGACACCCATCCAATACTTCAAGAGCAAAGGCCTTGTTGTTCTCGTAGCTATCTTCTAGATGGAGAAGGAGCTTTTCCACATAATCCGGAGTCCATGCTCTAAAAAAGGCAAACGAGAATAGTTATTATACCTTCGAACTCCTAAAATATGAGCCGGCTCGACTGGAGTACCAGGAACTTACAGAAAACCGGTGTTGAGTAGTTTTTTCATAGCTTTTAGCCGAGTGGGTGAGGTTATCTGAAGCATCATCATCATCAACAGCTTTTTATAGGCCTCTGCTTAGAAAGGAAGTTTTGGCCTACTGTACCACAATGGCCAGACGGGTTGGTATATTTTTTATTTTATTTTATATAATTCTTTTTGCACAAACAACAATTCATTGTACAATGGCGGACTTAATGCCACAGGCATTTTCTCCCAGTCTACCTTTGGGTGGTGGGGAAATGTCTGAGTAGGTGCACTAGAAATTAAGTTTTATATGTTACGAGATAGACACAGTGTGACAGATATACATACATACTGAGATACACATACATATATACTTGCTGAGTTACATACATACATGTATATGTGCTATCCTGATTACCAGAGGCAGAGCCCATAGGAGATATAGCTTTCTTCTGGTCCTGCGTAGTGTGCTCCCTTAGTCGAAATGAATAAGGGTGGTAACCCACCGTATTCTTAATCCGTCACCACTCTGAAGCACAACCTCTTTTTGGAGGAAGACATAAATGTCCAAGTTGTGACTTTTGAGTTGCAGATAGATGAGCGATAGGAGTCCGGTGACCTCGTTTGACCCTGTCATAAAAAAAAATTGCCTGGACGCAGTCGCCTAGTCAGGAGGTTGCCCTTAGGGAGAGTATTTACTTCTTGGGGCAGGCGCTATAAGCCGTTCATGTCGTAATCGTAGGTGTTAAAGGGTCCTTCAAATTTTAGACACAAACAATATCCAGGGGATGAAAACTCATAATTATATTAACGGGCCTGTTGGTCTAGTGGTAAGTGACTCTGACTGCTAAGCCGGAGGTCGTGGGTTCGATTCCCACCCAAGACAAATAATTGTGTGATGAGCACGATCATTTGTTCTGTGTCTGGGTGTAATTTATCTATATTATGTATGTATTTATTATATATATATATATATATATATTTTTTTAGGACAACAGCACTGCAAAGAGAAGGAAAACTGGAAACAAACCCTATTTCAACCGGAGGACTGTTATAGGCTGTTGATGATGATGTATGTATTTAGAAATATACATTTATCAGCAGTCTGGTTAACATAGACTTACCATTGACATATAGAGATTCTGCGTAGTTTTGGATCAGACTGTCGTGTGTGAGATGTGTAAAATTATATATATTCATTTAAATACCAAACATGAAAATAGTATTTGAATAAATAGTGGGTTGTTTGGTTTTTAATGACTCGCTAGTTTATTCGTTCGCCATTTTCATTCTATTTTTTTTATTTTTTTATTATTATAACACAGGAGTCACAAGCGCGGTGCCGGCCTTAAAATAAGGAGTTTGTTTGTTAAGTGTATTTAAACTAATTTACCAAAATGAGTGCCAAAATGACTATTAGAGAACAAATATTTGTTTTGCATAGTTAAGGCAAAAACTTATCAGAAATTGCGGAAGAGACTGGTGGAAACGTAATTTTTCCTTTTTTTTTTAAAGACTGCTCTAGCGCTAGGAATATATCCTGTGTCACGGACTTTACAAGCATACATGAAACGGACACAAACAACACCCAGACTCAGAACAACAATTAGTGGATCACACAAAGTGTCGTCCCATGTGGGGATCGGACCCACAACACTCAGCGTAATAGTGAGTGGCGTGGCGACCGCTTAAACCACTACGCCATCCGTGTAGTCATTAAGAAACTACTAACGCCATCTAGAATATTTTTTAATGAACTGGATTCAAGTGATTGATGTACACTTACCCAATATATCCATCCAAATGAAGTCGATGAGTCCAAACCAATAGCTGCAGGGCGACGTTCCGACGACTGTAGTTGGTCCCCGGTAACAAACTGTCAAAGCACTGCTGCCGAAGCTGGTCCACGAAACGCAAGTAATATTCAACCTTATTGTTGACGGAGTTCGATTCTCTTTGCCTTTTGATAACTTTGTAGCTGTCTTCTAAACGTTTCATGAACTGCAAAATGCTAAATCGTAAACTTGCGCATTTCAGGATCACGTAGAAATAACGCGATCAAGTATTATTCAAACAGCAGTAGACATAAGTATATGGTTTTAATTTCAACTCAAAACAGATAAAGGGTCTTGACAGACAGACAGACGGACAACAAAGTGATCTTTTAAGAGTTCCGTTTATTCCTTTTGAGGTACGGAACCCTAAAAATGTAAAATCTAGACATGAAACATGCGTAATTTTTAACTAACAACAGACGTATTGTTTAGTAAAATTAATAAACTATTACGTACATGAATAAATAAATAAGCATTTAAAACCTAGTAGTGAATTTGAGCAGCCTTTAAAATACCTTTTTCATACAGGACAGAGTGAGTTGTCTGAAGTTCGGCGCCTGCGCATTGATGTTGTACTTTAAGTACCACAACACGAAGGCCAGGTCACCTGCCGTGAACTCCTCCGTGCTCTTCGGAGACTCCACTATCAGTGACAGAGACAAAATCCGCGTCTGAAAATATGTGGGTACACAGATATTTAACGGAAAACGAGCGAACTTTATACCAGTCATATTTGGTGTGCTGGTAAATAGCTACCGCTGTACATAGATAATTGCATCTCCTGTAGACCCTATGACTACCAGTACTGGGTTCGGGGTGGTTGCCACCCTTTGACTGTTGTTTGAGTTTAGGGGAGCAGAAATTGTAATTCCCAATAACATCCATACGAGCCAGAGGTAGTTTCTTTTTTTAATTTACACTTTAAAATCAAATGTTAGCACTTGGAGATCTGGGGGAAAGGTGGGGTGGGGGAGGAAGCTAGGCTAAGTGTTTTTCTTTGGACTTAGGGTGGTTTTAGTTGACGTTATCTTGAAATTTGTTAGTTTCTTCTAGCGTTTTGGAAACATTACGACGTATTAGATAAGTATTTGGACTAGTGATAGTCATTCCTAGAATTCTTTCTATGAGTTCAGAAAGAAAAAATATTTTGTCGTAAAAAAGCGTTTGGTTCTAGATTTTTCTTTTTTTTATGGTAAAAGGGGGCAAACGAGCAGACGGGTCACCTGATGGTAAGCAACTACCGCCGCCCATGGACACCTGCAACTCAAAAGTCATAAGTGCGTTGCTGCCCTTGGAGTCCCTCCTCGAGTTAGCGGGAGGGGGGATTTGGGCTCCGGTAACCTCACTCACTCATTGAAAGGCAACGAAAGAATAAGCAATTCTTTCGTTGCCTTTTCTGTTTTCACCGGTTTTCCGGTTTTCTGTGAGGCAGTGGTATCACTCCGGTCGAGCCGGCCCATTCGTTTGTTGTAAAAATATTTTACTTTTGTAAAATTAAAGTCATATTATAAAATACCTTGAAAAGAACTCACCTAAGATTACCTTACCTATAGAACCCTATTAAAAATTAATTCCAACTTTTTAATTGGGCTAGCTACAAAAGTCTGTTTTTTTCTATGTGAAACTTCTTAAGAATCGTTGTGATTTGAAACTCGATGAAACGAAAATGCATCACGATGAAGATACAAACACATAAATGTATAGGATTAAGTCGGCGAGAGAATGAGATAGAATACATCACACATTTTTAATATAATATTTTGACAGTGTGAATATTTTTATCTTTTTATTTAATACTAACTGGTATCTGCGACTTCGTTCGCGTGGAATTTGAAAAACTCTGCCTTATGCCCGGTTTCTGAAGTTCCCAGTTATACTCTCATTAGCTATTGGTACAATAAAGTAATGTATAGGATAAACGTCGGTTAATTGTCACTGCGTTTCTGAACACGCAATGAACCGTTCAATAACTATAAAACAGATAAGCAGTTCCATAATCTGCCGTTAGATGGGTCTGTTTAAGAGATCAAGTTTAAAATTGGTTTTATTATTTTAATTCAGGATTATTACTAGCTTTATTTACGAGAATATTTTATTCAAGGGTAAATAAGTAAATAAGCATTGTTTTAGTTAAAAATTATTAAAATTCGCTATTTATCAGCGGATGAATTCAGAACGACATCGTAGTCAATTATTTTTTTTAAATAAACGTCAAACTCATTGATGTCAAAAAAAAGTTTCGTCTAGTTTCATCGTGGTATTATTTTTCTTTGCTTTTACCGTGGTCTTTGCTATCGTTTGTGCTTTATCTTTTCTTATAAAAAATAACTATAATGGAATCTGGAAAAAGTAGTAAAAATTTTACTGAGAGAGAGAAGATGCTTCTTATCGAAGTAGCCAAAGAATTTGTGTCTATAATCGACAATAAAAAGACGGATGGAACTTCTGTGGAGGCAAAGAAACAAGCTTGGATGGCGCTGACAAATAAATATAATGCTGTCTCAGAAACTGGCGTTAGGACTGAAAAGCAGTTGCATGCCTTATATGATAATATAAAGAAAAAAGCGAGAAAAAATTTGAGCGATGACAAGGTAGGTCGTATCCTTGTAATTTATATTTGATTAGACTCCCTTATGTATATTTTAAGAGTACAAAGTACGAAGAAACCCTTTAGTATACAGGTGTAATAACCACTTGGTACCAATAATATACATAATTATACTTCATATATGTAATACTATGCCTTGGAGTAACATTTATAATCTAATATATTCGGAGTAATATATACAGTGATTCTTATGTTACACAATGGTGCCAGACAAGAATGTAATATATTTATGTTAAATTTTAATTTCAGTCCGAGATGTACAAAACAGGAGGTGGAACATTTTGCCCCAAGACAACCATAGTTGATGAGAAAATTGTGGCTTTATTAACTCCTCAATTTAAACCATTACCAAATGAATTAGACTCATCAGCACCTTATTACAACTTAGGTAAGTCCTAATTTTTTCTAAATTGATCATTTTTTCACTGATATTTGGGTTAAATTCTTATTATATGTTCTTTTTAGGCATAGGTTACCTGAGCACTTAAATGTATGCAGGCAATATTGTAGACAATAAATAGTTAAAAGTGAATTGACCTTGTTAATAATTTATTGTGAAATAGATTATTATATTTATTTATATCTATGTGCCCATACTCAACTTCTAGCGCTGTGGTTATTATATACCAGCATGTCAGTACAATCAGCAGGGAAAATAACACAGTAGTAAGTGATTTTTACATTTTATTTATTACAGATATTGAAACACAAGTAGTAAGTGAAGATGCACAAGTTGGTACTCCTCAAGATATATTTGTAGTATTGGATGCAAAAGAAGATTCGGTGTGTGACATCCAATCAACATCTAAAGAAGTTGAATGTCGCAAAAGACCAATTTTACCAGTTGGGAATGTCTTTCAGGACGTTGAAAGCACACCAAAATTAAAAAAAAAATGGTTAACTGAAACAAAAAAAAGAAATATAAATAATCTCAGTGCTTCAATAATTAAAAGGAAAAATCTAAAACAAATGAATGAAGATGCCATAACAACTGAAAGGTTGAAAATATTGGAAATTCAACGGCAACAAGAACTTATAAAATTAGAAAAAACTAAAATTTTACTAGATATTGATATTGAGTTAAAGAGAACTCTTTTAGAAAATGCAAAAATGGACCTGGAATATAAAGAGAAGAATTTTAGTTTATGATGGATTGATGGGCAACATAATAATAATAAAATAAATTTTTCTTTTTTAATTCCAGGATTCTATTTGAGCATTTTTTGAAAAGAAAAATCCAGTAAAATTTTTATTTTTCTAATTTCATTACTTCTTGTTTTTGTTGAATCTTTCATCACATCTACATTGTGTATTTTTCATTTGAAATATAAATAAAATATATTATCTACTCAAGTTTGTTGCTTTTTTTATTTTGTGTTCCCATTGTGTACTTCGAGATATTTATGAAAGAAAAACTTTACCAACCTAAAATATTGTTCCAACAATAACTGACAAAAACGGTTTCCTTCAGAGGTAATAGGTGGTTGAATGGATTCTGTAACATTAACTTCGTCTTCAGGAGCAGAATCAGCCATCACAGTATCATTTTGCTGTAGAGCTATATTATGTAACACAGCTGTTGCGACAATAACAGCTAATGTGTGATCTAATTTTAATCTTAATTGTTGAGAAAGGCATGCAAATCTCCTTTTCCACACACCAAATGTCCTTTCAACTGTGTTTCTGGTCTTAATTTGCGCTTCATTGTAAAGTTTTTCTGCATTTGTGACTGGATTTAAAAATGGTGTCATCATATACCTTCCAAAAGGATAAGCACTGTCTCCCAGCAGGTGACCATCTATTTTATTGTTATCCAATCTTGCTCGCAGGAATGAATTATGATACACTGTACTGTCATTAGTTGATCCATGCCAGCGAGCATCTATATCACGGATATATAACTTAGCATCACACACAGCCTGTACATTAATAGAAAAGAAACCTTTTCTATTTCTAAATAGCTCTGCTTGCTCACCTCCAGGAGATTGAATGGGTATGTGCGATCCATCTACACAACCAATTACATTTATTATATAATTACATTAAGGTACAATTTTTTAATATAGCTGGATTTCCAATCCAGCGATATTAAAAAATTGTCCTTCTCTCAGGTCTTGCATACGTATGTAACTCCTAGCTAGCTTTGCTATTTCCTTGCTCACTTTATAAACCACTCTTGACACAGTGGTTTTGTGAACGTTAATGTCATCACCAATGACTACTTGCATAAAATACTGTAGCATAAAATCGTAATGCTATGAAGATTTGTTCCAACGCAGACAATGTATATTTGCGATCCATAGCGGGAGCTAGATCAGGGCTGATATTATCACTTAGGTGTATCACAGTCTTCTTGTCAAAGCGATATCTTAATTTAAATTCTTCATCCGTAAACATTTCGAAAGGATTTCTCCTACGTCTTAAGTTTCTAGGTACTGAAATATTAGAAATAAACTCCAATACTTCCAAATCAGACTCTGATGAGCTGACAATTTAATAATAACAGTTATAACCTAAAAGTTTATGTAATTTGCTTGAAGCAAAACGTCAAATAAAGTTATGAAATCGATAAACGGCACACATTGGTCAGTTAAGTTAACCTAAGTTTAAACGGAGTTTATCTTACATTGCGATGTTCAGAAACGCACTTTCTTAGGTTATCGAACCAATAGCGCTAATGAATAGATAAACTGCCGTTAAGAGTTCCTCAGAAACCGGGCATAATGCCCATAATGGGTTCGATTGTAGGGCCGGGGAAAATTTTATAGGGTTTTTCTTATATAAAAAAAAAGGAAAATAAATAGCCTAAGTTACTCCTAATATAGACAAATATTTTTTCTGTAGTTTCACTTCTACCGTGTGTAAATTGCACACTTGCACACACACACACACTATGATTTTTATATATGAGTATGTATTGTTTCAGCAGTCTAGTACACAGTGGGTACATTTTGACCATGCGCCAAAAAACATTGTCACTTCAAACTTGGACAAAAGTCTGGGACAGACTAATACAGAACAGTAAACACCATCAATTCTAGTATCGTATCATAGGTACCTCATCAACAGCATCAATAGCAGCTCGCCTCAGAACCTCGTACCCGATGACCCCCCTCCACTCGTCGCTTCCGTCCCCTCCAGAAAGCGGCAGACTGTCGCTGGCGCCGGACTTGCGCGTCACCGACAGAAGCATCAGGACACATTTCAAGTCCATGGGTTTGCTTGTATTTTCGTGGGACTGTTTTATGTATGGTATTCTGTGGTAAAATAAACAGGAACGTAGTCATCTTATCCTCATGTTTTGTACTTTTTTTGTGGTATTGGGTATAAATGAGCAAACGGGGCACCTGATGGTAAGTAATTGCCTTTGACCATGGACCCCTGCCACGAAAGGGACGCAAGTCTAAACATGGAAATTATTGCTATTTTTAAATCATATTCTGATCAGTCACGATTTAGTAACAGCGATTTCAATACTAAGTTACTTAGTTTATTGCTTCCATAATGTAAATTGTACATTTGGTAAAAACTTAAGCTGGGTATCAATTATGGACCCTGTGGGGCACAGCATAGAAGAGAGGGATAACCTCCTTTCTAAGGAGAGGATTATGTCCAGCAGTGGACTGTTAAAGGCTGTCGATGGTGAAGGTGATGATGACTTACAATCGGGCGACCCATCTTCTCATTTATCCTCGATAGAAAGGTTTCGAAATCTGCTCTACGTACATGTAGCGAATGAGTCCGCGATCCAGCTTGACGGCGGTGACGAGCAAGTTCTCCAGGATGTTGATGACGGTGCAGTCGGGGTCAGAGCGCGCGGCGTGCTCCAGCACGGGCCGCAGCCAGCGCGCCTGCAGCTCCTCCGTCCCGCACGACCTGGCGTCGGAGCTCACCAGGCTCTCCAGACACACTGTTGCCTAATGGAAGTTAACAAGCTTGTAAAAAGTTAAATACCGAAAACGTTATTCTGCTGGAAAAAGGATTCATTTCTCTAGTTCTAGTTGTGAAATTGAATTCAGTTCCGCTTGAAGACTCTTTTAAAAAAAAAGTATAATCAACTTCAACAATCCGTATTGTAATAATCCGTATTCTTCACTCCCTATTTCCCTCCAAGGTGGAATTTTTCGGCCCAATTTCATCAATTTGGTCCCACCATGGAAATAATACAAATTTCTAATAAAAAATAATTACAAACTAAGAAAAAATGATTATTTATCTATTCATGTAGATACGTAATCAAGTTTATTAAAGTAACGTTTAAGTCAACATACGACTAATTTTACTAAACAATACGTCTGTTGTTAGTTAAAAATTACGCATGTTTCGTGTCGTACGTACGGAACCCTAAAAATGTATAATGTATATACATTTTTAGGGTTCCGTTCCTCAAAAGGAATAAACGGAAGTCTTATAAGATCACTTTGTTGTCCGTCTGTCAAGACCCTTAAGAAAAATCGGTCCAACAAGTCGAGGAGGCCACGTACTTTTTTTTTAAAAGGTCTACTAGCAACCAAAATTATTAGTGTTCCCTATAACCCTTCCCGCTAAAATTGGCTTGTTAGGAGTGGGTTCACGTCGGTAGTGTAGTGGTTAGGATCCGAAACCACGACCTCTTGATCGCAAGACCAATGCCTTAACCACTAGGCTACCGCTGCTTCATATTTAAAAGGCCAAGTAGACTTGGTCTACTATTTAATGAATAGACAACAACAGTGGCAAACTCTATAATATACTTCCTGTGGGAATACAAGATAATAAAGATATAAACAACATTTCTTAATCAACATGTTTGACCGTTACTGGTGTACAAATATAAAAATTACTTTAAAAATAGTGCTTTTCTATAATACTTAAAGGTTATTTCATGTGGCACAAAATTATTTATGTATTTCAGTATCAAGACATTCACACTGACACTCGTACCCAACTAACCCTAACGTTACGTAACCCTGACCCTAACGTTACGTAACACTGACCCTAACGTTACGTAACCCTGACCCTAACATAACGCAACCTTGACCTTAACGTACGTGTACTTACGCTAGCCTGTATGTGTTGTGAGCTGAGAGCCCCGAGCACGTCCTGTATGAGCGTGGGCCACGTGTGCAGCACTCGCCCCGCTCCCACCTCGCTCACCAAGCAGCTCACACTCACGTAGTAGCTCCTACGGGACGTGTCTAAGGACTTTAGGGCTGAAAGTAGCTTACAAAGAGCGGAGTCATCACCTGCAATAAATATATACTAGAAATAAGTAGATTTCAAATTTGACCGCTAACCTACCCCCATTGCTCTAGGGAGAGGTCAGCACACTTGTGACTTTTGAATTGCAGTGTCAATGGATGGCGGTAGTCGCTTACCATAAGGTAACCCGTCTGCTCGTTTTCCCTATCGATATCCCATATTAAAACCTTGATCTGAATTTTGAAAACAGTAAAATGAACCAGTTAATACATGAAATGTGGGGGTAAACCGCAGCATGCGGACAGCATAAGACCTTCCTTACCTTCTCTGTCCAACTTAGCGCAATAGTTGACCACAGTGGCCAACATCTGCGCAGTGAGATGCCTCACGCTGTCCATGTAGTGGTCCAGGTGGGACCACGCGAATGTCACAAGGGAGTCCACTATTTTCAGCCCCGTGCTCCTGACTGTTATTTTCTGAAGACATTTACTCATTTGGTGAACAGTGCGCGCGACGCCAAGTATCACCGTCGATTCTAATGAACTCCTGAAATTGATTTACTTCTAATATATTAAATTCCAGTAATATCAAGAAAAATTTACTTGCTTATTCTTATTATTACTGCAATTTCACTTATACATATATACAGTTTATATATCGTTGTTTTGGGGTCAAGAAACCCAAGGTCCAAAGTCGAAGTTGAGACTTTAAAAGACAGATCTGTTTCCTTTTTTATGTCCTAGAATCGAACTAGGGTTTTTAGGGTCCTAGGAACCCGTGCTCCAGTCAGCTTCCAGACTCCGCGTTCCTTCGAGATGGATCTTTCTAGTTTATTACTCATGGATGAACATTAATACAAATCTGTAAATCTGTGAATCGTTTATACCGATTTAGAAGATGTTTTGAATGAAAGTAATAATTTTTACCTTTCGCCTATCTCCAATATCTTAGACAGCAAGCTGAGGATAGCCGGATCACCTTTAACATATACTGCCTCAAGTTTATCCACTGACACAACTGTTATTAAGGCCGAATATAAACATAGTTGGGATGCTTCAGCCTCGAGTAGGCCTAGCAGAGAGTCATTGCAAGTAGAGGGATTTAAGACCTGAAAAGAATAGTAACATATGACAGCTTTGTTAATAGAGCGCATCGCAAACTGTAAAGAGTCTCTACTACGGTAACCAGTACTGATACATATGTATATGTCACATCCGGATTATTTCTACGGAAGATCAGTGTCACACAAACGTGGGTTAGAGAGGGGTACATGTCAATAGAAGAGTGTGCACTCTATATTCGGATCTCTTATCGTACTGCCAGCTCTAAAGATAACACTGGCCTAGGAACTGTACTGTTTAATAACCTGCAAAGAGTTTAATTCTCGCCCGGATCACTGCTGATGCCCACAATGAGTGACCGTGAGAATAACGGTTCTCCGATATATATATTTCTAAATACCTACATATTATAGATAAATTACATCTAGACACAGAACAAATGATAGCGTTCTTCATACATTTATTTGTTGGTGAGATTCGAACCCAAGACCTCGTTATCTATATAAAATAATTCTATTGATTATATGTTTATACATATAACCATATTACACAAACAAATACATATTTAAAAATATCAAATATTGTAGACCACTGGTGATTAAAGCTCTTAAAGATAGAAACCTACTCACTACTAATGTTGAGAACTGCCTTTTGCTTCAAACCCTTGATCCAGCCGTCTGTCGTGACCCTATTAAGGTGTCGGTCGAGGCTCTTGCCAATCAATTCATAAGCACAAGGGCTATCGGAACCATCACCGAATCCACATTCCACATACCGACGTGAGATAAACATTTTATGTGTTTTTCTTTACCTTAATTTCTGTATTATTGTGTGTACTTACTTGTAGCCAACTGTCAGGTCCATTCTTTACAATATACATAGAAATAAACAGTATGCCACACACTGATTTAGTATCCATAGGCACATCATTGTGCATCATCAAGTCTTTAATACACAGCTCTATGATAATGAACAAAGGAATTAACTCGCTGAGGCTCTCATCGTTTGCTTTCTGAACAATATGTAGTAACAGGCGTAGAGTAATATGGGATAGGGTGAAAATTTCGTTCTTTTCCGTTGGTGATAAGGTTTTGCTTTCGCTAAAATTTAAAAGATATCTGTTAGCTATGGCTGGACCATGATGATTATTTTTTAAGAAGTTACTGCCTCATCATTATCAACAGTCTTTAATAGTCCACTGCTGGATATAAGCCTCTCCTTAGAAAGGAGGTTTAGGCCTACTATACCAAGCTGGCCAGACGGGTTGGTATAGGGTTTGGAGTTTTCCTTCTCTCTGCAGTGCTGTTGTTCTGCGTAGTTTTCTCCCTCAGTCGGCTCTTACGACACCCACAGGATGAATAGGGGTGGTGACACTCTGTATTATTCTTTTAAGGTGTAACTGCCCCATAAAAACTACAATTTTAAGACAATTTCCTGTCTTAGTGACTGTTTTAATCAAAGGACAGACAGTATGTAATGTTTTATAAACTAGTGCTTTTTCATCTGTGACCTGGCTCCTTCACTCTCTGGCTTCCTTCACTTCATCACATCTGTTTTACTTACCCCTATTTACTTTCTTTCTTTAACCTGGAACCTTTTTGGAAACGGGAACTTGGTGGTGATGATGATTTTCACTCATAGTTTAGATAATTTTTTACATATAGGTTTTTTTTTAATGTCATGTAAAGACAGTAACTCTCATGTAAATTCAAACCACATTTTGCTAGGAGACTATTGTGTATTCCAAGTATTCATTATCTGCTAGTCTCAAAGCCAATATTGTAACGGTGCATTTCGCGCCATTACAGTAATTTGAACCTTAGTCTCGTTTTTGTTTTGTTAGATTGAATTTTTTGTCGTTTCTGCGTGTGCCGATGGTCGAGGGACGGACGGGAGTAATAATCGATGTTGTTCGCCCACGATTAGTTTAGTCGATTTAGTTTTTCTTGTACTGGCAACATTTTTGTTTCCCCGCTCTATAGAGCGAGAGGCTATTGCACTGGTATCACTTTGACTTTCACTTTTGGATCGGCCGCCGAGAGAAATGACGCAAAACCGTTTTGTCATTTAATTTTTTAGAAATCCGTATTTATTTGATATGGACGAGGGCCTATTTCCTCTTTAAATGTTTGGCCAACCTAGTTAAGACTCGAGCTAGTGGATCGAGTGATTATTTTTGTTAAAAAAGGTGAGTTTGTGCGGCCACGTGCTTCACGCTTGGCTTGGCGGAATTTGTGGTTTTAACTCTTTGTTTAATTGGTTACAGGCAATGCTTATAATGCTTATAATGCCGCTGCTTGATTTGTGAAGCATTTTAGAACCCTGGTAAGTGAAATATGATTTCTTGTCAGAGTTATGGTTCATCTTATGAGATAGGCTTTTAACCTATAATTTTTCCTTGTTTGCAGATGAATCAGGGTTCTTTTCTTTTTTAGTTTATATCTAAATTTCTTAACTTTCTTATTGGAATGTCCTTGCGTGGCATTCGATTTTTGTCTCTCGCCGGAGTTTAACCCCAAGAAATTAGTTTGCTGTGGAGCTCAGAATGGTAGAAAAAGCTGCTTAGCTGCACGCCATCGTCTGGAGCAGGGGAGTGCTAACCCGCCTTTAACACCACGTGGGAACCGGAGTGAGAAGTTTCGGAGTTGGTTTGATTTCATTTCGTTCGGACTGATCCAAGGTCATCGGTATGTGTTTTTGTTATATCTTTTCTTGGCGACGTGGCATTGAATACTGCAGGTCCCTAAGGGGTGTTATTTTTATTAGAGAGTAGGTCAATGCTATGTCTACCCTTAGAGTTTATTGTTTTGTCTATTAAGTCTTTATGTGACTTTGTTTAAAACCTATACAGGTCCCCATAGGGGTTAATTTTAATTAAGGGAGTAGGGCGTTGCTACAACTACCCTTATACTCTTTTCTTTTTGGGTCTTCATGTGACTCTTTAAAATTTATTTAACCTTATATTTTTCTTATTGGAAAGGATTGCATTAACGACAGTACTAATTTGTGTATAAGAATTACCCATTGTAATTAGAGACATAAGACACATTGTACTCTACAGACACTACGGGATAATAAACAGCCATTAGAACTTAACAACTTGTATTCTTTAGCTGTCCTCCCGCTTTGTTTTAAAAAGGTTCGGTGCTGGCTGAGATGTCCGAGGTATTAGTTGTGTTTGTGGTGGGTTCTGTGTTCTTTTAAGGTGGTATCTGGCGCCCGAGACTTTTATTTTGTTATTTTGTTTCTATTTGATGCCACCAATTTAGTTTATATTTTCTTTATAACACACCCCACAACATAATTTAAATTTTTTTATTTTTTATTATTACAATTGTCGCCAGCGCTCAGGGACTGAAGTAGTGTCTGTAGGTTAATTAGACAACTGATTAGATACTGTCTTTACTGCATCCTATATTTTTCTTACATACCTTGTGTATTTTATAATTGTATTATCATTAAGTGAGGTTGTTTTTACAATTTTTCAATAATGGTTTACAACATTGTGACATTACAATGTTATTTTTGCTTTAACAAACAACAATAATTTAAGTTATGCTGCTGCCTATTGTATTCTCAATTAAGGGTATAGTTACTGAAACATTTTGTGTTACAATTTAATAGCTTTGAATGTTAATTATAAGTCTGCTCAAGAAACATTTTATAGATACCTCCGCTTTGGAATTATTATAATATAACTTATTGTAAATTAAGATTAACTTAACTTAGCTTAGCCTTGCTGTTATTATTTAGTTACTAGAACAATTGTTAGTGGTTACTGCAATCCTTAAATCCTTTTTAATACAGAACTTAGATATTTAAATTAAAACTTAGCCTTTTTCACTTCACTTTCAAATCAATTTAGACTTTTCTTTACAATATTCAACTTTTAAATAATTTGAACCTGGTTGTTCACAACACTTAACTTTTAAATAAATTTAAACTTATCCTTTCATAACAGTTAACCTTTAAATAATTTAAACCTAGGTTTTCACAACAGTGACTTTTGAATAAATTTAAACTTAATTAACCTTAAAGAACTTAACATTTGAACGGCTGTTTTGGAATTGTGTGGTGAATGTCGGTTTGTATTATGGACAAGGAGGCTCCACCTTCAACGTCGCCTGCCAATGTGGATGTTGACACAGCTGCGGATGAGTCAGCGGGGATGAGCGTCCCATTAGATTGTCATATGTTCGTGATACTCCTGCTCTTGCACCATGTCTGCCTTCGTTCAACTGCATGAATGAACACGTTAGGAGGAATATGCCTGCCTATACTACAAGCTGCCTGATTTAACTAGGAGCAAGATAATCTTTGACGGTAAGACCTGTGTTAGAGAATTATCACTCGTGTTGAGGATTACTTTGTATTCAGGAACTTTCATGAGGCCGTGTTGATTGGTTCGTTCGCTGATCTGCTTGCTGGTACTGCTGCCAAGTGGTTTAGGACTATTCGTAGGAAGATCTCTTCGTGGGTTGAGCTTAGGGCTGCCTTGCTTAGACGTTTTGATAGGCCGGACTATGATAGCTGTTAGGAGCATGATCTGCGCATTCGCAAACAAAAGCCTAGTGAGTCTCTTCTAGATATAAAAATTTCAGGGTTGATGACCACACATTGTATAAATTTTGTAAGAATAAATTAAATCTGGATAGTAGATTAAATTGGAAAATTGTTATTTCTAGGAACATTATTCTTGATGCTATTGAGTCTAACCATGATGATATTAATTCTGGTCATCTTGGGATTCATAAAACCACTAAGAAATTAAAACAACATTATGTTTGGAACGGTATGTTTAATGATGTTCAAAATTACATTGAATCTTGTGACACATGTAAAGCCTTAAGCACAGCACCTCACATAAATATATTCTTTCAGTTGTAGATGTCTTCACAAAATTTTGCTGGGTTTTTCTATTAGTAAAAGCTACCACCGTATCCAATTGTAGAATCCTTGAAAAAGAGATATTTCTTAGATTTGGTTGTCCTAGATTAATAGTTTGCGATAACGGTACTCAATTCACTTCTAAACATTTTGTAGATTTCATGAGAGGTTACAACATTACTAAATTTTTTATAACACATTGTACACACCTCAGAGTAACCCTGTGGAGAGGTACAGTAGGACGGTAGGGACTTGTATTTCATGTTTTGTTAAAGATTGGATTTTGTTAGTTTGTTCTTGCTTTAAATTTTGACCTCACATTTAGTTGGCTTTTATTGGAAGTGTAAATTTGGTTATTGGTTTTACACTTAATTTTCTTATGTTTAGTAGAGAGTTAATTTGTTGATGCTTCTCTGCACCATTTTGGTAATTCTTTGTTAGTTTAGACCAACTTGAGTTGTTAAAGGGATTTTTGTGCCCTTTCTTTTGGATCACTTAGCGATATTTTTTGTTAGAGTTGAGTCACATTTGTTAAAAGCGCATTGCTTTATATTAAAATTATTTATATTATTTGTTGCTATTATATATTAAAATTATTAATATTATTTGTTACTATTTCTTTTGATGTTGGTGATATTGTTTGGATAAGAAGTTTTATTCAGTTCTAGCGCTCCAACATATTTTTCGGCAAAGCTTGTACCTAAGTTTATTAAATGTAAAATTATAGAGAAGATTTCAGATAATGTTTACCTTTTGCAAGACCTTTCAAAGAGCACCTCCGGTCGCTATCATATTAGAGATATTATTAAATATTAAAATTACACTATTTGGTCATTAACTTTAGATCTTAATTTGATATATTTGTTGGATTCTACCTTTGTGTGAGGAAGTATGTAAATGGATGTATGCTAGATTATGGTCCTTTGTATGTTGATGTAGTGAGAGGCATTCTTACCGATATATTAATTTTGGGGTTTAAGAGTTCAAAAGTTTACTTAGGTCTTTTTGGTTTATTAATTTCAGGAACTTCATTCATAATAGAGACCACATCAAAAGATTATTTTGTTTGTATTTTATTTGCACTTCTACCTAGTGTAGAGTGTTTGTTGGAGTTGGGTTCGCCCTCTTTTCAAGGGTTGAACGGGATGTTTGTTGGATTCACACTTTTTTCAGGTGTTGAATGATTTGTTTTTTTGTCGGTTTCACACTTTTTTCAGGTGATGACTGGTTTGTTGGTTGGATTCACGTTTTTTTAAGCGTTGGATGTTTTTGTTTGGTTTCTGTTGCATTGTGCCCGGTAGTTCGGTGGGGTTGAGCCGATCACAATGCGCAGGTTTTTTTATATATTCACACCGTCTTGTTGTGTTGAATATTTTTGTTTGGTTTCTGTCGTATTGTGCCCGGTAGTTCGGTGGGGTTGTGCCGATCACAATACACAGGTTTTATATATTCACACCGTCTTGTTGTGTTGAATATTTTTGTTTGGTTTCTGTTGCATTGTGCCCGGTAGTTCGGTGGGGTTGAGCCGATCACAATGCACAGGTTTTTATATATTCACACCGTTTTGTTGTGATGAATATTTTTGTTTGGCTTCTGTCGTATTGTGCCCGGTAGTTCGGTGGTGTTGTGCCGATCACAATACACAGGTTTTTTATATATTCACACCGTTTTGTTGTGCTGAATATTTTTGTTTGGTTTCTGTTGCATTGTGCCCGGTAGTTCGGTGGGGTTGAGCCGATCACAATGCACAGGTTTTTTATATATTCACACCGTCTTGTTGTGTTGAATATTTTTGTTTGGTTTCTGTTGTATTGTGCCCGGTAGTTCGGTGGAGTTGTGCCGATCACAATACACAGGTTTTTATATATTCTCACCGCCTTGTTGTGATGAATATTTTGGTTTGGTTTCTGTTGCATTGTGCCCGGTAGTTCGGTGGAGTTGAGCCGATCACAATGCACAGGTTTCATATATTCTCCCCGCCTTGTTGGGATGAATATTTTTGTGTTTTGGGTGAAGTGAAAATGAATGTTTGGGTGAAGCATTTTGTAACTCCATTAGAGTCGGTGACGAAGGTGTCCAACCGCACTTCTTGGAAATTGATATCTTTGAGATATGCATTTCCTGATGGATGTTGTTTAGTTTGTGTAGTTCGTAACTCCATTAGAGTCGGTGACGAAGGTGTCCAACCGCACTTCTTGGATATTGATATCTTTTAAGATACAATTCCTAATGGATGTTGTTTGTGAAGTTTACTTTGTTGTTGTTTGTGAAGTTTACTTTGTTGTTGTTTGTGAAGTTTACTTTGTTGTTGTTAGTGTATTTCGTTGTAGTTTGCAGCTCCATTAGAGTCGGTGACGAGGGTGTCCAACCGCACTTCGTGGAAACTGTTATCTTTTTAGATATACAGTTCCCAATGGAAGCAGTTTGTGTAGTGTATTTTGTTGTGTTTGTGGCTCCATTAGAGTCGGTGACGAGGGTGTCCAACCGCACTTTTTGGACTTTCTAGTCCTAATGGTAGCTTGGTTTGGGGATTTGTTTTTGGGTTTGTGTGATTTTGTTGTAGAGTTAATTTTGATCTTATATTTAGTTTCCTAGTCCTTTTGGCGTATGGATTTTTGTATTCCTGGAGTTTGTAGAGTTTTAGTGGAGTTTGGTAGAGTCAGTTTTGGAGTTTAGATATTTTGCAATCTTTTTGTTTGATATGTTTGTAGAGTAGTGACTTTTCAGCATAAAAGAAAGAGTCCTTTCTTTTATTTTTTTTCGGGAAGGTATGTAATGTAACGGTGCATTTCGCGCCATTACAGTAATTTGAACCTTAGTCTCGTTTTTGTTTTGTTAGATTGAATTTTTTGTCGTTTCTGCGTGTGCCGATGGTCGGGGGACGGACGGGAGTAATAATCGATGTTGTTCGCCCACGATTGTTTAGTCGATTTAGTTTTTCTTGTACTGGCAACATTTTTGTTTCCCCGCTCTATAGAGCGAGAGGCTATTGCACTGGTATCACTTTGACTTTCACTTTTGGATCGGCCGCCGAGAGAAATGACGCAAAACCGTTTTGTCATTTAATTTTTTAGAAATCCGTATTTATTTGATATGGACGAGGGCCTATTTCCTCTTTAAATGTTTGGCCAACCTAGTTAAGACTCGAGCTAGTGGATCGAGTGATTATTTTTGTTAAAAAAGGTGAGTTTGTGCGGCCACGTGCTTCACGCTTGGCTTGGCGGAATTTGTGGTTTTAACTCTTTGTTTAATTGGTTACAGGCAATGCTTATAATGCTTATAATGCCGCTGCTTGATTTGTGAAGCATTTTAGAACCCTGGTAAGTGAAATATGATTTCTTGTCAGAGTTATGGTTCATCTTATGAGATAGGCTTTTAACCTATAATTTTTCCTTGTTTGCAGATGAATCAGGGTTCTTTTCTTTTTTTAGTTTATATCTAAATTTCTTAACTTTCTTACTGGAATGTCCTTGCGTGGCATTCGATTTTTGTCTCTCGCCGGAGTTTAACCCCAAGAAATTAGTTTGCTGTGGAGCTCAGAATGGTAGAAAAAGCTGCTTAGCTGCACGCCATCGTCTGGAGCAGGGGAGTGCTAACCCGCCTTTAACACCACGTGGGAACCGGAGTGAGAAGTTTCGGAGTTGGTTTGATTTCATTTCGTTCGGACTGATCCAAGGTCATCGGTATGTGTTTTTGTTATATTTTTCTTGGCGACGTGGCATTGAATACTGCAGGTCCCTAAGGGGTGTTATTTTTATTAGAGAGTAGGTCAATGCTATGTCTACCCTTAGAGTTTATTGTTTTGTCTATTAAGTCTTTATGTGACTTTGTTTAAAACCTATACAGGTCCCCATAGGGGTTAATTTTAATTAAGGGAGTAGGGCGTTGCTACAACTACCCTTATACTCTTTTCTTTTTGGGTCTTCATGTGACTCTTTAAAATTTATTTAACCTTATATTTTTCTTATTGGAAAGGATTGCATTAACTGACAGTACTAATTTGTGTATAAGAATTACCCTATTGTAATTAGAGACATAAGACACATTGTACTCTACAGACACTACGGGATAATAAACATGCCATTAGAACTTAACATCTTGTATTCATTAGCTGTCCTCCCCGCTTTGTTTTAAAAAGGTTCACGGCTGGCTGAGATGTCCGAGGTATTAGTTGTGTTTGTGGTGGGTTCTGTGTTCTTTTAAGGTGGTATCTGGCGCCCGAGACTTTTATTTTGTTATTTTGTTTCTATTTGATGCCACCAATTTAGTTATATTTTCTTTATAACACACCACACAATATAAATTAAATTTTTTTAATTTTTTATTATTACAATATCATCAGATCATTCATCAGTTATTTAGTCAATTTTATCAATTTAGGAAGTACAATACCTCAACAATAGATCCACACAGAAATCCAAACAGTTCATCAAGTAAGTGCCAAGTTCTATTTCCACAATCCGTACAGCTGCGACACCTGCGTTAAAATTCTCAATACATGTTGCCACTTTGCTTACGACATCTTCGTATTCCTTGTAGTGTGTCGGCTCTACTGATATTCTTGTAGATATCTGTGATGCTAGTACACTTGTAAATGGTTCTTGAAGGTTGCTGTTTTTTGTGACATGCCTGGAAAATTAATTAACTTTAGTAAGCAATGTACATTATAAAATTATTAGTTTTTTTTAGAAACTGTAATGTAATATAAGTCTGCGTAATCATTATCTCTGAACAGTTACCACAGTATTATCTCAGAACAGTAGTCATTATCTCTGACCATAACTTCTGAACAGGAATATATATTTACAATTTCAAGCTATTGTTAGCTATCTGTACTAGTTGAAACTATTTTGATTCCTAGAGCTTGGTCAGCAAGTCAGCATATTGTGGCAGTATATATATTTAAAAAAATATTTTGAGTGAATTTATCCTGTGTCGCGGGGAACTTTACAAACATACGTGAAACGGACACAAAGAACACCCAGAATCATAACAACAATTTGTGGATCGCAGACTGTGATGTCCTATGTCGGGATCGAACCCACAACACTTAGCGCAGTAGGAAGTGGCCAGGTGACCGCTTAAACCACTACGCTATCCGTGCAGTTAAATAATTAATGTCCTCTGCTGAAGTACAGCGTAACTAAAGCTTGCTCAAAAGTGTTCCGATTCTGCCGGTTCCGCGTGGCGAAAAATTACGCCACTGTTTAGTTATAGAGTTTAATATATTCTTCAAATGAAAAAGAGGGTAGCTGCAGATCTAATAAAAAGAGTTTTGTTAGAAAGGACGGGGAAATATAAATGATCGCAGAACATACAGAGTTTTATTATACCAAATACTTGTTCGTGCTCACAATTTGTTGCAAGAATTGAGTTAATTTAATGTTATTGTAGTGTGATAACAATGCACAAGTGGGATCGTAAAATTAAATTATATATTTGTTGTCTGTCCCACAAACTTGATAAATGAAGTGATTTCTATATAAAATGTAGCATCGTATACGCGCTGTATACTTATTTAAATGCTATATTAATTTAATCCCAAATACTATAAAAGCACATATTATTATAAGTGCTATATGTGTATACTAGCTTTTGACGGCGGCGTCGCCTTGGCCTAGATAAAAAGTAGCCTCTATGCTCTATGCTATTCTAGGCTATAATCTAACTATGTGCCAAATCTCATTCATAAATACAAAAAAATAGGTGTCTAATTATTTGACCAGGGACTTCCTTTCTAGGGTATACCTGGTTCCCCGGCTATTAGTACCCGAGACGGCCTGCGGTTTTAGTCGGTTCGAGTCCGACATGCCACCGACAGGTGGTATCCGAGGGGATTTCCGCACGAAAAAAAAAGAAAAAAAAAAGGTGTCTAATTATTATTATTTTTGATAGAGAATATAATCATACTAAGAGTTTGGAATTGATAAGTTAAAAAAAATTGTTCCCCATACAAACTTACACCCATTTTTAAGGTTACTTTGGAAAAATTTGTAACAACGTTTTTATTACTTTTTATACCTATAAAGAGTAACTGTAGTTTGAAAACATTGCTACCAAAAATCACAAAGTTTCATCTATATTTTCAACTTCCATTTTGCACCCATATTACTTTCTATATTGCATTACTTTCTGTAGACTATTTAAACTTATAGGATACTTTAATAAATTCTATTTTTTTTGTGCAATTAGTACCTAGTGATCAAACTTTAATGCGTGCAAATGTATTTAACAAAAAATTGTGGTGGTAACATTTAGCAAATAAGGTTTTAATTACATTATGAAATCAAACTCACTTATACTTTTTTCACTATTTAATTATTTTATGCTCGTTTGCCCCCTATTCCATAAAAGCGGGTTTGATTCCCGCTCAAGTGAAACATTTGTGTGCATTACCATTTAATATTTGATTTGGTCTGGGTGTTTCTATGTATGATATGTATATTTACAAATAAAAAAAATGTATTTATATCAGTTGTCTAGTACCCATAGTACAAGCTCTGCTTAGTTTGGGACTAAATGGCGATGTGTGAATGTGGTAAAAAAAAAACAAATGCCGTACGGTGAAACCGGTCAGGTCAGACTATATTTTCACCAGGTATGTATAGTTCCACCAAGTGGGGACAATCAAGAGTATAATGAGATGTTACATTACCTTGCGATAAAACATTTCAGAGGATGTTTAGCCTCTGCTTGTAGAAACACGACGACCATAAACTTTATAATATCAGTGTCAATCGCATCTCTGTACAGATCTACAATCTTTCTTAAAATAGGTAACTGTTCGTCTGTAGAAGTGGCATCAGCAAATTTTTGAAATAATTCGTGATATTTATCTAAAAATTTAACATTAAATTATATTGCATAACATTGTTTGGTGGTTTGTTTTTACTAAATAAATAACATACTATATTATTTCATACCTGATGTTTTAAAACTAGAAATTGATATGTTTACAGGAGAAAAACCAATTGATTTTTTTGATTTACTATCGCTACCTCGACTTATTCTCAACGCTAGACCATTCATGATGTTTAAAAGTGGTTACTTGGTTAAATTGAGTCTATTTTATTTCAGAAATAAAAAAAAATATGTTATTTTATCAACTTCAACTTTTGGTTAATGGCTTTGTGGTAGAATGTAACCACAATTTCGCCAATGTTTGTCTTTCAAATACATGACGTATTTGAAAGACAAACTGTCAAAGGATTTTATGTAGAGCTGTGGTAGAGCAAAAAAAAAAAATTGAGAATGAAAGAATAAGAATGAATAAATTGTTATCTTTTACAGGCATGATAAAACTTAAACTAGTAAAATATATATACAGGTAATAACATATTAAAAATAACATATTAAATATAACAAATATACAAAATAATAAATAACCAGTAAAACAAAAACAAATTTTACACTGTGATATTGAAACTATAATTTAATTTTGTTTAAAGTTATACACTTACCTAGAATGAATACAAAAGGAGTAAAAATGCGAGACAAGAGTAAGATGAGGAATATGAGGAGGAATGAATTCATAAATAGGAAAATTAGTTCTAGGACAATTAAAAAATATATGGTTCGCGTTTCCATCATCAAGCCCACACTCACAAATAGAGCTATCCCTAATTCTGAGTTTTGCTAAAAATACTGGAGTGCATGAGTGATTTAGTCTTAACCGACAAATTATAGAAGTGGTGTTTTTTTTTTTTTAATTTAGCAAACCACGGCTTAAGTGGATTTTCTGGTTGTATATCGCCGTAAAATTGGCCTGTCACAGTTTTCGACACGCGCCACAGCATGGACCACGAATCAAACAGCTGTGATTTAAGGGATGAACAAATATCGTAAGAGTATATTTCTGTCTAGTCATAAGAGCCTGTATAAACAGCATTTTTTGCACATGAATCTGCAGCCTCATTTCCTGGAATTCCTGCATGTCCAGGAATCCAGGCTAAGACAATGTTTATGTTTAGTTTTTGACATTGAAATAAAAGATGTCTAATTTTAAGGACAATAGGACTATTGGAATTTGATCGGAATGGGTTTGATAGAATAGATTGAAGGCAGCTTTTGGAATCCGAAAAAATTATACTATTGTTTAAATTATGGGATTTTATAAAGGAAATAGCTTCTTAGACTGCTATAGACGCACCAGTGAAGACAGAACAAGTAGCGGGACATTTATAATTTAGAATTATGCTAGTAGAAGGAATCCAGACAGCATCACCAACTGGACCATTTGATGAGATTTTTGAAGCGTCTGTAAAGATTAGGCGCCAATTATTATAATTGGAGGTAATTTTATTAGTGAATAGACTTTTCGCTTCTATTGAGCACTTGTTGATTCCCAAATCCAGAATGACATTTGGTTGGAATACTTACGCTTCGTATGGCGTACAAAAAAGAGGCAAGGTGGAGTTTTGAAATAAAGGATTGATGAGACGGGTGAATTGCTGGTAAGCAAGAAGAAGGCAGGGGGTAATTTTATTAGAACGTGGATCAAGATTATTCAATAAGTTAGATAGCTGATCTAGTTTGGGAAGGAGCGAATGTCAGCATTTTGGATAAGTTTAAAAAAAAAATCTGTTGGCAAGAAATTGTCTACGAAGAAGCGGAGGAGGATCACCACATTGAACCTGCATAGCGTTAATAGGGGAGGATTTCATCGCTCCGAGAATAATGCGAAGACATTTAGACTGAATTTTGTCGAGTTTTTGGAGACCAGATTTATTTATGGGCTCTAAAACAAATAAGCTGTAATCTAGGTGACTGCGGACTATAGCGTTGTATAAAAGTTTTTGGGAAAAAGGGTGGGAACCCCACCAAACTCCAGAAAGGGAGCGAAGAACATTAATGTTTTTTTTTTACACTTCTTTACAACATAATCAGTATGAGACACACCTGTCAATCTGGAATCTAACCACACCCCAAGGAATTTAACTTTATTTTTCACTTCAGACTTCACCAAGGACTGAGATGCCAGCTTGGGGAATCATTCGCTTTTTGCTGCCTTTCTTTGGTAGTTCACAAAATTTGGAATCGTCATGTTACGGTTATACGAGTTTTCTGCGCTTTTTCTTTCACTGATAGCCGCAGAGCACTCGAAATCCCACCAATGAGTTGATACCTTGGAATTGAAAGGCTTTTTAAGAGAAAAAATTTGGTCAGCACTTGAGATAATGGCATCAACAAAATAAGAGTAACAATCTATGTGATTGTTAGAAACAGGAAAAGGAAGATCAGCTAAATTATTTTCAAGGCAAGATGTAAATAAAGGCCAATTGGCTTCTACTGTTCTATATTTGAAAGTTGGGTTAAAACTATGCTCGGGAGATACCTTGTTAGAAATCGACATGAGAATGGGGAAATGATCACTGCTATAAGAGTGGGACAGAATATTCCAGGACATAGCAGTGGCCAAAGATGCCGAACATATTGAAAGATCGACAGCCGATTTAGGGTTTTGAGAGGGTAAGACTCTTCTAGTAGGAGAGCCATCATTAATAATACAAAGATTTGAGTCATCCAGAATTTCTAAGAGAGAGAGAGACCAAAGGCATCATCATGGCTAGAGCCCGATGGATTAAAATAATTGGAGAAGGAACCGAAGAGATAATTAGTAAAATATCAGGAATTAACCTAGAGTGAGGGTGAGGAATGTAGGCAGAGAGAAAAGTGATGTTAAGAGCCCTTACAGCTATAATATTAATGTTCGGGGATATAGGGGGAAGAGGGATTTGATTAAACAAAAGGCAAAGCTTAATAAGTAAGGCGCTGCCTGCATATTCATCGTCTCTGTCACTCCGAAGGCACGAGTACCCCGGAACCCGAAATCGGGAACCAGGCACCAGCCATATCGCCGAAATGGCGATAACTGATGGATTAAAAGAATTAATTAAATTGAGAACCTCATGTTTCTTAGGACGAAGACTCTTCGCATTTCATTGAAGAACTACTGCCATAATTAGAAGCAAGGGAAAGGATATGTGTGAATTTCTGGGCAACGTTGGGCGGTAAAGAAGATTTTTTTTTATATTAAATTGACAATCACAGATAGCAACAGCTCTAATTAACCTAACTAACCTTCATCTTGGGTAGGCGAAGCTTCTGTTTGAGAACATTGAAGAGAGTAGCCGTTTGGAAAAGACGATGATTCTTCAGAAATGAGGGCTTGATGAGCCGCCTTGTCGAATGATTTTCCTAAAGGAGCCTTAGAACGCGGGGAAGAAATAACAGTTTTTTTTTATATGATATGGTAGGGACTGAAGGAGAACGCTGCTGCGAAGACGACAAACTTGAAGAGAGCGGGAAGGAAGGCGAGGACTGTCCAAGGACTCTGGAGTATAATTTACCAACTTGAGGATACTGCCTGGGCGCTTCCTCATAATTTAAATTTTCTTGAGCCATTAAGGATTTTATACTTTTCTGCCTTTCCTGCTCTGGCAAGCACCGCTGTTAGTAAAATGATCACCAAGACAGTGAAGACATGAAGCTTCAGCCTCGACTACGTTACAAGTCTCCCCAGAGTGGGTACACCGGAAGCAACGTGGCTTTGATCGGCACTGTAATTTCGTGTGACCAAATCGACAGCAAAGGAAGCACTGGATAGTTGGGAAATTATACATCTCAACGGGTAGGGACAAGTGATAGCTAAATATTCTTTGTGGGAGGATTTTTCCGCGGAAGGTTAAGACCACAGACTGCGTAGGGATCCATACAGTCTTACCGTCCTCAACAGTTTTTCTATTCAGTCTTCTCGATTTTAGGAATTCGCCACATCTATCAGGAACAACTACAGATTGGACAAAATCCGTCATCGACCAATCTGTTGGAATATAGCGAACTACACCCATTTTGGTGATATTGTAGGTAGGTATCGAAGCAGTGTATTTGTTAGTATTCAAAATAGGGTTGTCTAGAAATTTATTTGCATCTTCAGCTGACAGAAATTCAACTGAGATTTTGTTTCTGCCTACTTTTATTACCCCATCTGTTGCGATTTTCGAAATTTTGTTAAAACATAAAAATTGCCGGTGGAAAGGCAATTTTTATGTTTTAATTTTTATGTTTGGAGAGGTGCCGGAGGAAAGGTCTGGTTCTATCCGCGATACGTGCACTATAAACGGGGCTTTATCTGAAGGTTCGTACATTTTAACGGTTATCACAATACTCGGATGAATATATACCTACTGTTTTCTGTAATATTTCTTTTTGGATCCCCATGACGGATAGCATCCTCAGAGGCAAGGCGACGCTTACCATGAGAAGCCATCTGAGGAACCACTCGACCTAAACCTCCAGGGTCCGGGGGATCCGGAGGAATAGGGGGAGACGGCTCCACAATGAGGGACATACCTATCTTAGTTATTTAAAGGATAAATCCTTTATAAATATTTAAACAAATAAACAAAGATAATAATCTATTTAAACTAAATGAAACAAATTACTTACTGAAAATTCTACACATAAATAACAATAAGACTGCCTGATGATTAAAAGCATTGAGTTAAAACAACACTAGAGAAGCAAACCTCATTATCACACGTCGAAAAAAGTGTAACCACTTTTGAACTTTGACGACGTAGCTTTGATACCACTGAACATTTGAAAGTAAACATATTTATGTCTCATTTACACGCGAGACAAGAACAATACCATCGCTCGGATTAGACAAAGACAAAGATATAACTTTACGATGGTGGGCCAGTGTTGACTACCGTATGAAATTTTACCCATAACAACTAAGAAACAATTATTTTTTTAAACAATTTTGTAATAAAATAAATTAATTTAAATATTCTAAATAATATATTTCGAATTGAATAGAATAGGTATAAATAATAAAATAACTGGAAATATTTGGTTAAAAGGGTTTATATTCAGTGTAAAATCAAACTGCGTTGTGAAGCATCAGTTTTGTATACAATTGTCTTTTAGACTCTTCTTTATAAGTTTGTGTGGATATTTTACTTTCATGATACAATCTTATTTTTACGTATGTAAAAATAATAGCATTTAATAATAAAAGTGAATGAATAACTTGTACTGATAATAAATAATCCCCAGGGTGTATTGCAAATTCTATTATAATTTAAAAAACAAATAAAAAAAAAAAAAAAAATATTTTATAAAAAAAAAAAATTATGTTTATTTACTTTTTTACTTTATATTTTTATTTTTATGATAAACATTTATTATTATTATTATTTAGTACAATTATTATTTAAAATTGATAATAAATTAAGAAAAACAATGAATTAATTTTTTTGTACAAAAGTCTCCAGCACTGCGAGCTTGGCACTTCTGCCAAGCTCGCAGTGAACGTTCAACGGGTCCCTAAAAAAAGGGATCGGTCCAGCCCTAACAACTACCGTTCTTACTATATTTTATTATTATTGGCAAAATGTTTAAAAACAGTATAAAGCATATTATTTCATAAATTATAAATTCTCCCACTAATGTGGGAAAACCAAAATGATTTTTTAATGGTAACACTGATTCTAAATTACAATTATCAGTGTTTTATTTCAATTATAGCCTTATTTACGATATTATCAATACAAAACCATAAACTTACACGTGAAAAGTAATTCCGCATGATTTATTAATGTTTTGTGACCTTGAATCGCATTCTTTCACTACGCATTTAGCCATTTTGGCGATTGTTACTGTCATGTGTCGCTATGTTCAACTCGGTTGACGCCACATTGAATAATGAATTGACGTTTGCTACGCATATGCCTGTGGACATATGTGCAGTAGCAACGATTTTAGGCGGTAATTACTCATCTATGTAAGTATTATATCAATGATTAAAAGAAAACAATTATAAATATAGGAACAGAAAAATAAGGTTAGGATCCGAGTGACAACTCCTCTCCACAACCCAGCGAAAAGCCCTTAAAAAACCAAAATCACAACATAACCTCAATCATGTTATTTTATATTTTGCATTAGGTCAACATAACCTCAATAGATACCTTGACGTGATGGTAAAACTAAGTTTAAACGTCACTTTGACAGTTTGAAAACAAAACGAATCTTGTTCAGAAAACTTATAAAGTCAACTTTTCTATGTGATTTTTATAAATAAACTAGCTGAGACCCGCGGTGTTACCCGCGTTTGTTGTTATAACCGCGGGCAACGCCGCGGGGCGAAGCCAGTCTAAAATAAGTAGCCTAAGTTACTTCTTATGTCATCAGCTATCTGCCAGTGAAAGTCCCGTCGAAATTGGTCAAGCCGTTCCAGAGATTACCCGGAACAAAAATTGTAAAAAATGTTATTTTGGCATATGTCCCGTGTGTAAACATACATATGCATTTAGTAAAAAGCGGTTTTTTTAATATTACAAACAGACACTCCAATTATATAGATTTGTGTATAGATTAAATGATTTTATTGTTACAAAATGCTCCTGAAAAATAACGTTTACCACCAAGTTAGTTTCTAATGATGGGATCGTACAGAAATCTAGGGAAACCTTCGAATTTTACAGCCAAGACACTTTGTTTTATATTTAAACCGCCGTAAGCTTGGCCCTCCTGATGGTTTGGGGTACGCGGGGCATGCATTCAACTAATTAGCTAGTGCGTCGCTGTCCGCCGGCAGTGACTGACGTGAAAGCATGGCTGTACGTGTTATTTTTCTTAAGAATGCTACACACGGTATTATTTTGCAATATGGATAATCTGCCGACTCTGCGTCACAAAAAGATTTAAAAACTTGAAGTTCGGCTTACAGAGGTTCTATTGTTAAAGTTCTAATAAAGAATATTTATTATTTTACTTAAATTTTAAAATTGTATCTGAATATAATTTACATGTTGAAGATAAGGTGATTTTATTAAAATTATTTTGCAGTATTAAATTTTACAATTAATCATAAAAACTTACAATACACTGACATTATAATAAATTCGATTTTTATTACATCGTGTGTAGATTAAATCTCAAACAAATAAATCTGAAGATATCGAGTTAGTACATCGTGTCTTGTAAAGCCGAGCGCATCACCCGCCCCGCGTCCCACAAACCATCAGGAGGGCCAAGCTTACGGCGGTTTAACTATAGCTTGTTTAACTATACATGTATTTGCGTTTGGTAGTCATCTCATGTTGCTGAGCTGAGTTACAAACTCTGATATTTGGCGACAATTTTTTTGTGTTAACAAAACATAAATCCTTGGTAGTGGCCAAGCCAGTGTCAGTGATATTTTAAAGTAACATTATCTCTAATAACTTCGAAATGGTCTAAATGAATTTAACTACTAAAACGTTGTTATCACAATAAATAAAACAAAAACAAACTTCATAAAAAAACATTTATTTCCTGTATCGTTGATTTTTTATTTGATTTTTTTCTTTATGTTAAGGACTTTTATTGTCCGACATATCAGTCATATTGTTATACAAAATACATTGTTTACAAGTACCATTATAAAACTTAATACTAAACATTAAGATATATTGGAATTTCCGCACATCTTATAGTTTCTCAGCTGCTTATGCGAAGAGAGAATGCTATGAAATAACCCGAATCTTGTCTTCTCTTAGAATAAATGTTCTTTGGCAATACGATTCCACTGACATTCCCACAAAAATGGCGGACATCGTTATTGTACCACAGGTTTCACAGTTGGGCGACTCATTTTACCCCATCATACATTCAAACTTATTTTTCTATCTTTCTTTCTTTTATTTCAGTCACAACGTTGAGAACAACCTGTTTGGTTTTCTGTTCCTTAATTTCTGCAGGGACAGCATCTTTCTGGATCTCATTCGAAGGTTTGCTTTCACTTAGCTTGCTACCGTCGTCGCTGCTTTCGTCATTATCGACTGTAAAAGAAAACATTTCATAATTTACTAATACGAGTATATCTTATAGTTAGTTGTCAATGCAGAACCAATGCCGGAGTACGGGCTCCTCTCCGTCACATTGTGGAAACATACAACACACACCTTTGTGTGTTGTATGTTTCCTCAATGTGACTGTGATGCAAGGCATATGTTGACATTTTCGCACAGTCGCAAACTAAATTCAAAATTGCAGCAACTCAAATATAAAAAACGCACGTGTGGGTTGCACATACATTCAATAGATTATTTACTCTAATTTTAAACTAGTTATTACCCAACGTGTAACTGTTTAATGTCCCATTGAATAAATAAATACCTGTGACTGATTTACGCACAGGACTCGTGAAAGGTCTGAATCTAAAAAATAAAAAAAGGTCGTAATCTTTGATAAAAAGAATTATGACTGATTTTAATGGCTTTTATCTTTGTCTATGACGAAATCACAATCACATGTAAAATCGCTGTGATTAAAACGAATCATTTGACTAGTTTAGGTTTGGAATTTAAAATTCATTACATGTTGAAATCTATATATATATATATATATATATATATAAGAGATTTCCAAATATATAGTCACTCATCACGATATCTCTGGAACCATTAGAGCTAAAGACTTGAAATTTGGTAGGAGTATTCTTTTCACCGAGTAGAGGTCAGCTAAGAACGGATTTTAAGGTTTTTTTTTTTTTTAAATAATGTAAATAGCAAAACAACGTTTGCAGGGTCAGCTAGTGATATTTAAATACGTCATTGGACAGGGTGCGGACTGCTGAAATTCAGGAATCTTAATAGTTTTTCTCACAGTCCACTATGTATTGTTTTATTTTTCCCCATTTTCCACACAACAAAATACTCACAGTTTTAATAAGTAACAAAAATTTGACGAATTAAAACAAACTTAACAACATACGAATAAAAGCTAAAAGAAACAAGTAAAATTTTAACAAAAAAAAACCGACTTCAATGGTTTTCTCATGGATTCCATGGTCAGAACTAGACCAAATTAAAATGGGACCACACGGGAAGCACCAGCTTTCCAATAAAAAAAGAATCATCAAAATCGGTTCACCCAATCGAAAGTTATGAGGTAACAAACATTTAAAAAAAAATACAGTCGAATTGAGAACCTCCTTTTTTGAAGTCGGTTAAAAATATCAACATCGTGCTAGCGGTATCAACCTTGCGGACGGTACTAAGACGATGGCGGTACCTGCAGCGAGGTGCGGGCGGGGAGGCCGCATTCCACGCGTTGGTCTAAAACGCTTGGTCGAGTAGTACACAAGCATAGGATAATTATTTCATGCATCAGACACATTGAAAGTAGTGGACTATTATTTATTTTTAAACGACACACATACAGTTATAATTATCAAATAATTAGGTAAAAAAATACAAAAGCCAATTTGAATAGTCGATAGCCATAGACAAATTGATAAAATAAAGGAAACATTATGCAGGTTTGTTATAAAAAGACTCTTTTATATATTAAAGAGTCCACTAATATCTTTTCTCCTAGTCTTTCCCAAACAAAAATTGTTTTACACATAGCATTAAATATTATAAAATTCTAAGAAAAAAGCCGAATTTTAAAATACATTTTTTTTTACTACAAGACGATGCAATTTGATTCCAATATTTTTTATGTGAAGACCCGCCATAATTCTTTGATGCCTTTAATTAATTTACAATTTAATCAAGGTGTTACAGAAATATAAAGTCAAATTTTAGACGTGTTATATAAATTAGCTCAAAAAACATCCACATCATAAGACCGTTACCTTTTCTGCCCAAGTTAGCGCAATAGTTGAGCACAAGGTCCAACATCTGCGAAGTGAGTTGCCCCACGCTGTCCATGTAGTGGTCTAGGTGGGACCACGCGAACATCATCAGGGAGTCCACTATCTTCAGCCCTGTGGCTGTGACCTTTATTTTCTCAAGACTTTTACTCATTTGATGAACAGTGCGCGCGACGCCAAGAATGACTGATTCTAACGAACTCCTGATGAAGAAAAATTTGCTTTAATTACTTTTTAATTTCATTAGAGAGACTATAAAAGTTAGATCTGAGAGATTCATCAGCCTTTTCTTAAATAATTTCCAAGCCTGGAACTTTTTAAGGTCCTAAACACCCGAGTTTCCTTAGACAACGGTCTTTCTAAAATCAAATGCTTTTTATTGAGTACGCCTTGTTACAGTACATTTTCAAACATCATTAATACAACTGATAATCAAATTGAAAATAAAATAGACACTAGACCAATAGGGATGAAATAACCCTGATGACCTAGTGAAAGGTCATAAGGGTCACAAAAACACATTTATATAACTATTGCAAGTCCTAACATAAAGCAGTCCTCCGTAACTAGATGGGCTTATAACTAAAGCTATGTAAACACTCCCACAAGAAAGCTTAATAGGTAAGAGGAAGGAAGAATCCGAAAAAAACTCAGTCGAGTTGTTGGAACGTCCTTATCCTTGAAATAATCTGTAAAGAAGTAATAGGCTTTCAAAGTAAGCTTGTTTCACGCAATTTTTTAATATGCCCATTGGTAAACTGGATAAACTGTTTGGGATTTTGTTATAGGAATTCACACAATTTCCCTTAAATTAATTAAGTTCCTTTTAGAGTCGAGTAATGGGCACTGCGAACCTATGCTCAGTAAGGAGGCTTTAATAAGATTGCATGATATACCTTGAAAATAAAAATTATGACCTATATAACAAAAAAAGTTCTGAGGTAACAAACATTAAAAAAAAAATACAGTCGAATTGAGAACCTAATCCTTTTTTTGAAGTTGGTTAAAAACAAGAACCTCGAGTAGCGTGTTAAAGTCCTGGAACAAGGATTTAAAGAGTTTGAGCAACAAACTCTTGGGACATCTCTGGAAATAGCTGGGTTACCTGAAATGCTTTCCGGTGAGATGAAAAAGGTTGTAGACACAGTAGCCTCTAAACTGAACGTGAAGGATAAGGAAAAGCAATCATCACGACAACAACCAGAAACTAAGAACAAACCAGGTTCCATCTTTGTAGAATTTCAGTCGAAGACGCTCTAGCAACAGTGAGACGCTAGCAAGGAACACTGCCTCACCGTGGGACAACTAATGCCGAACGTCCCGAAGGAAAAGGCTGATGGTCGTTTTAACAAACGGGAGGCCTTAACTAAGCATCAGAAAGTGTATGCTAGGAAGTCCAATACTAGTAAAATTTACTATTTCCGTACATTGCACGACATTGAACAAATTAAAAAGTTATACTCAGCTGGTCCTGAGAAACAAACGGGAGGGTATAAACTATTGTAAACTCATCTGAGTTCGTGTTTCTTGCACGGCCCGGAAATCGAACACACTAATCGATAAATTGGATGACTGCGGAATACGAGGCCCGTTACTGACGTGGTGTGCAGCTTATCTAAAAAATCAGGCCTTCACTGTCAAAATCGATAACGCCTGCAGTGGACTCGCGTCTGTAACTTAGGGAGCACCTCAAGGCTCCGTAATAGGTCCCCTACACTTCTTGACCTACGTAAATGACATGAGCATCTGCATCACCTGCAATTCATGCTATCAGTTTGCGGATGACACTTGCCTTGTAATTGCTGATAAAAATCCCCTAACGGCGTGGAAACATTTGCAGTCTGATCCCTAGATCTTGCTTTAACAAGATGGTGTCATGATGCTGGCCTTGTACTCATCGCAAACAAAACAAGATTACTAGTGATTAAATCTCCGTACATAAGACCTATTCCCGTACAGAATTTGATAGTTCATGGCCATGACTGTTTGCATGACTTCATTTCGAAAAACTGTAACTCTCCATCAATAGAAATCCTCAAAAATTATAAAGGTCAGTGCTGTTTATGACTTTCTAGTTTTTTCCTTATGGCTGAACATTAATACAAATCTGTAATAGTATCGTTTATACCGATTTGAAAGATGTTTTGAATGAAAGTAATAAATTTATACCTTTCGCTGATCTCCAAAATCTTAGACAGCAAGCTGAGGATAGCCGGATCACCTTTTACATATACTGCCTCCAGTTTATCCACTGACACAACTGTTGCTAAGGCCGAATATAAACATAGTTGGGATGCTTCGACTTCCATCAGGTTTAGCAGAGAGTCACTGCAAGTGGAAGGATCCAAGACCTGAAAAGTAGTTTCATGTAGCAGTTTCGTTGACAAAGGTAAATCAACACAATAACCCACCTCCGCCGCCACCGCATCTCACACACGGCCGTCTGATAAACATTCACTCAGATACAGAACATATGATAGTGCTTAACACACAATTAAAGAAGAATTAAAAGTGTTAGACCACCGACATCGGGTACGGGGGCCAAGACACCGGCGCTTAGTGCTCCAAGGACAGGAACTTCCATATGGGCCATGTCGAATAGAACTGTTTTCTGCATCAGACCCTTGATCTGGCCTCTTGACGTGTCGGTCGAGGCTTTTCCTTTTTAAACTTTCTTTTATTTCTGTTTTTTACTTATTATTATTATTATATGTATACTTACATCTAGCCAACTGTCGGGTCCATTCTCTACAATATACATATACATGTACAGAACGCCACACACTGATTTTGTTTCCAAAGGAACATCATTGTCTAACATCAGATCTTCAACACACATCCCTATGGCAGTGAACATAGGGATTAATTTTCTGAGGCTCTCATCGTTTGCTTTCTGAACAATATGTAGTAACAAGCGTAGAGCAAGATGGGATAGGTTGAAAATTTCATTCTCTTCTGTTGGTGTTAAGGTTTCGTCTTCGCTGAAACTTTAAAGAAATCATAAGTTAGCTACAGCTTTACTATGATGATATTTTTTAAGGAGTTACTATCCCATTTAAAATAATAATACCAGTAAATTTTCTCTATAGATAGAGTTTTCTTCTGATTATACTTCACCTGTTAGAGGGTTAGGTTTCTGCTGGCGAGTACAATAATTTCAGTATATCGCAAAGTTCCAGCAAGTATAAATACTGTATACTATGATTATTCATTTATTTTTATTTATTTATGTAATGCAATACAACTATTTTTCAAAGGTTTTGTACCTAATACAATAGTGTAGTCATTTGTTGTTCCGCATTAGGAGTACATTTCTGTGTCGCGGGGGACTTTACAAACATACATGAAACAGACACAAAGAACATCCAGACTCAATACAACAATTTGTGGATCACACAAAGTGTCTTCCCACGTGGGGTTTGAACCCACAACACTCGGCGCAGTAGGAAGGGCCGTGGCGACCGCTTAAACCACTACGCCATCCGTGCAGTTATTATCGCTGTCCTTGAAATGAATCTGAGAAAGCGTCCACTCCCAAGAATAATAACGGTCATAGCTCATTAAAACCATCCGACACCCGATCAGCACCACCTCGTCTCTCGGTGTCCATTCGCTGTCGACAGGTGGTCCACGGTCAGGTGCATATTATATTTACATTATATGCATTGAGTTACCTCGCCAATAGATCCACACAGAACCCAAACAGTTCGTCAAGTAATTGACAAGTTCATTTTCCATGATCCGTACAGCTGCTACACCTGCGTTAAAAATTCTCAATACATGTTGCCACTTTGCTTACGACATCTAAGTATTCCTTGTAGTGTGTTGGCTCTGCTGATATTCTTGTAGATATCTGTGATGCTAGTACACTTGTAAATGATTTTTGAAGGTTGTTGTTTTTTGTGACATATCTGGAAAGTTTATTTTTAAGTTTAATAAAGGGACATCTATAAATCACGTCACACGTTAGGGGAGACAGGGTCGACGAAATGTGACAATAGGTGGGAGGGGTCCTAATTTTTGTTACGTCTGTATATCTTAGTATTGAAACGCGAAATTTGAATTATTCACAGTACTATTAGTTGTGACTAGGACTGGCGTGGGGGTCGAAAAAACCATTTAAGTGTGACTTAGGTTATGGATAGCCTTAAGCAAAGTGCGAAAAAATATTGTTTCTCTTGAAATCATGCGATCCAAGCGTACAAGAAAATAAAAGCGACTTCATTTTATACTACGTAAAGATTAACATTACAGTCAACATCAGATGTTTAATACATACTTTACTACAAGATATTTTAACATTTGTGAGATCAAGAGTAGACCAGAAATGAATTTTGAATAAATTTTTGTTATGAGACTTGACTTTCTGCTCTGCTTGAGCTATTGTTATGCTAAAGTAGGCCATCAAAATTGTAAGTGAGATGTCAGATGTTATCGATGATATGTTGTAAGGTTTGTTTGCCAACAGGCTAGTTGACTCAATGCGAAAACTTGGTTAATTGTATACTTCTCTCTTATATTTCTGTTTTTGATGAGGCAGTTATTTGTCATAAATTTATATTTAACTAGCTGAGACCCGCGGTGTTACCCGCGTCTGTTGTTATAACCGCGGGCAACGCCGCGGGGCGAAGTTAGTCTAAAAAAAGTAGCCTAAGTTACTCCTTATGTCATCAGCTATCTGCCATTGAAAGTCCCGTCGAAATCGGTCCAGCCGTTCCAGAGATTACCCGGAACAAACAGACAGACAGACAAAAATTTTAAAAAATGTTATTTTGGCATATGTACCGTGTAAACATACATATGCATTTAGTAAAAAGTGGTTATTTTAATATTACAAACAGACACTCCAATTTTATTTATTAGTATAGATAGTATAGATTAGTATAGAATATAGATATAGATTTAATTTATTGACATTCTGGTTTTACCCAATTATAATAATTGTGACTCAAAATTTTATTTATTTATCAACTTTATGCACATAAGTACAATGACGGAGTTAATGCCATAGGCATTCTCTACCAGTCTACCTTAGGGTGGTGTGGAAATGAGTGTGGAGGTGCACTACCCTTTGGTTGAGAATTATAAAGTGGACATAAAAGATATATACAATAGTCCTTGGGTTTGTGTTGTCCTTTCTTCCCAGGACTAGTCCTGTTAGGAAAGGTCGAACTCATCTTCTCAAAAACAGTTTGACATGCAAAAGTGTTCCTGTAACCTATTTGCAGAATAAACAATATCATTTCACTCCTTTAGTAGTACTGTGTAGTATTCTGTGTGAGAAACATATTAATTCACCTAACATTTATAATTTTATAAATATTTTTAACATACATTATTTTTCGGCAGAGTATTAAATATATCAGAAAGTGAGGGTCCTGGTACTGATCCTCAGTAATTATCCTCTGATTACTCCTAAGTAATCTCTTTAAGTTGTAGGTACAAGTGTAGTTAACAAAATTTGGAAATTTTTATCATTTAAGTAAATCATACTCTACTAGCCCACTGCTGGACATAGGCCTCTCCTTAGAAAGGAGGTTTTGGCCTACTATACCATGCTGGTCAGACTGGTTGGTATAGGGTTTGTTTCAAGTTTTCCTTCTCTTTGCAGTGCTGTTGTCTTGCGCTGTTTATTCCCTCAGTCGGCTCTTACGACACCCACGGGATGAATAGGGGAGGTGACACTCAGTATTCTTAATCCGCCACCACATGGATAAGTTTAAGTAAATAATATTTAAATTTTCATATTACCTTGAGATAAAACATTTCACAGGATGACCAGCATCTGCTTGTAGATACACAACCACCATAAACTTTATAATATCAGTGTCATATGTATCTTCATACAGATCTACTATTTTTCTTAAAATAGGTAATTGTTCATTTGTAGAAGTGGCATCAGCAAATTTTTGAAATAATTCATCATGTTCATCTACAAATATAATATTAAATCAATTTGCATAAGAGACCGGATAAATTACATGAACATACATAAAAACACAGGGGTCGCTGGAAGAAAACTGGACTTGGGTTAAGCTCACAACATTGAATTGTTGTTGAATCGACGCAAATTATTGTGTGCAAGAAGGAATAAATAAAATACCTATGATATTATTTCATACCTGATGTTATAAAACTAGAAATTGATATGTTTACAGGAGAAAAATCAATAGATTTTTTTGTTTTACTATCGCTATCTCGACGTTTTCTAAATATTGGACCGCTCATGATGTTTATAAGTGGTTACTTCGTTAATTTGAGACTATTTTCTTTCAGAAATATATATAAAACATGTGTTATTTTGTATTAACAATGAGATCAATATAATCAATACAAAATGGTGAACAGTTCATGTAAAATGTAAATACTATTCAGAGTGGGAGACAGTGTTGCCAACAGTTAATAAACTCTCCACCAGATTCAACATCTAAAACCATCAGTAAGAATTACTAATGTATGGGCAAAAAACTTTTTTAAAATCCACATCGCAGATTTTTTTTAGGTGAATTTTCATTGAGGAAAACACATTTGTCAAAAGAACTTATCGCGTAACTTATTTTTGGCCCAGTTATTGTTGAAGAAATTGTTACTTTGTTGTTTCATTTTACTAACGATTATTTAGTCAAATGTATCGTTTGAATTTCCATATGAAACCAAATTTACTGCACTGAAAAAAAATTAAAAATTAAAAAACCGAGTATAAAATCTCGGAACAGTTCAACATTTGCCAAATTAAAGGTTTGCTAAAAAACCATTTGACTCAATAAAACTTGACAAAGTAAAATGGTGCAAAATGATAATTTCATCAGTGTATAAAATGCGAAATGGCTAAGGATTCATTTGCGATATGAAACTATGGCGAAAAATATTATGCCCAAATGGTCACCCACCAGAACACCACTACCGAAAGACTCTAATAATCGCTAAATTATTCGCTAAAATTTATTTTAGTTCATCAACAGCTTTTAAGAGTCCACTGCTGGACATAAGCCTCTCCTTTTGAAAGGTTTTGGCCTACTATACCACGCTGGCCAGACGGGTTGGTAGAGGGTTTGTGTCAAGTTTTCCTTCTCTTTGCAATGCTGTTGTTCTGCGTGTTTTTTTCCCTCAGTCGACTCTTACGACACCCACGGGATGAATAGGAGTGTGGACACTCCGTATTCTTAATCCGTCACCACACGGACTTTATTTTAGTTATTAGGAAAGAAAATAATGAATACCTATGTTAAAAAGACCTATTTCTTAGCGTTCCATGGATTCACCCTGCAGGGTGCAGGGTCCATCGCGTGATAGTTAGGGGCAACATATGCGACTGCGATAGCGCCTGAGAATTATGACCCAGGAATAGGTTTAGGGAGCACTCCTTGCGACGCGTCAGCCCTCACCTCCACTGTGTGCTGTGTTACCCTCTCTACGTAACCATATTTGATACAAGCCTGGCAATGCCGCTTTGGATATTCGTTCAAAAAAAGTGCTCACTGAAAAGGGCTACTTCAAGAAAAGAACTTACCTAATTAGTTTCATCATAAGCAGCAACATAAAAATTATTCTATGACAACAGTTACTTTTTTAAATTAATTCTTCTTCAAATGAAATCTTCATCTCCTTGCCTAAAATTAATAATCCTTCTCTTCCTAAGCACTTTCGTCTAATCTCCATTCTTACTTTCATATGAAAGGTTCTTGAGTTTTACGTTCAAACAGTTCTCACAGTTCGTCTTTCAACTTCATCTCCAGAGGACTTAAGAGATGATACAATCTTACTACTACCACTAAACCACTAGAGAAATCCACTAGCCACTTAAAGCAATATTTTGCCACTGAGAGGGTAGTCGAAATCACCAATTTTAGTGGAAAATCTATTAGATTGGCAACACTGGTCAGAGACGAAACTGACTTTTAAACGTGACCTTGACATTGACAGATAACAACGAAAAATCTCTGAAAACTATGTTTGAAAATGGAAAACAGAGCAAAGCTTACAGGTATACCTGGTTCCCCGGCTATTAGTACCCGAGACGGCGTGCGGTTTTAGTCGGTTCGTGTCCGATATGCCACCGATAGATGGTATCCGAGGGGATTTCCGCACGGAAAAAAAAAAGAGCAAAGCTTACACAGATAAACAAATAGATTGGTTTATCAAGTAAATGCTAATTATATTATTTTTATATGACAATTTGTGTGTGAAAGTATGTATGTGTATAATCCACAAAACATGTTCGACTAGTACTTAAAATAATCATGTTCTCAATATCTAATACATAGGTATTTATCCATAAGGGTATTGCCTATGCTCGCCTATAAATTAAATTATTTACCTTTCTAATATTATTTCTGGGTATCTTATTATTATTGTTATGTATTAAACAATTTATGATCATCAAAAACTTGTTTATTTTAGGAAGATCATCTGATTGCGCTTTGACAAAACCGTGTTAAGTCTTTCTTCATAAGGATTTGATACCTACTTTAAAACAGAAAACTAATAACGTTATATGAAACACCGCGAATCAATTCAAAATAATTACCACCAGTAACCATAGAAACAACTCGTTGACAGTCGTTGACAGTGAAATTTGACGTTACGTTTTGTTCTACCAATCGCGTAGCGTTTTAGAAAATTTCTAAAACGCTACGCTATTGGTAGAACTTTAAAAATCACTTTCTGATGAATCAATTTCACTATTAAATTATGATAAATTTAAAAAATAATTGTATAGTGACCGTTTTTAACAAAAAAGTTTACAAATAACAATATTTTGCATATTTCCTTTTTTTTTGTCAGAGGGGGCAGACGAGCAGAGGGTCACCTGATGGAAAGTGACCATCGCCGCCCATGAACGTCTGCAACTCATGAGTCACAAACGCGTTGCCGGCCTTTTAGGAAGGAGTACGCTTTTTTCTTGAAGGTTTGAAGGTCGTATCTGTCCGGAAATACCGCAGATGATACCCCTTCCACAGATTGGTTGTCTCGAAAAGCGCACAGTAGTGGAGCGCCAACTATCGAGGTAATAAGGATGAAAATTTTGCCGTGTGGAACGATATCGGAAATTTGCGGCTGGTATTAGTCCGAACAATTCCTCGGACCACTCTCCATGATATATGCGATAGAGAATGCAAAGTGAAGCTACATCTCTACGTAACGCCATCGAATCGAGCCGGTCGCAAATCTTTTGGCTATCGACGATTCAAGGCGCTCTTCGTTGGATGCGATCCAGGTAATCTTTTGGCGTCCTTTATACTATTTACATTCTGGAATTAGGTAAATATACGTAAGGTACTTCAAGGTTCCACGAAATACTTATTTTAAAATACGCCTCTGTATAGGATTATTTATACTCCATACCTATTATTTAGTTAACTACTTCATCAGCAGCCTTAAATAGACTTCATCGACAGCTTTAAATAGTCCACTGCTGCATGGTCCGGATCCTCTCCAGAGAAGGGCGCCTAAGACCGGCGGTCGGGGTGGGTTTTAGATGCAACTCCACATACTTTTATAAAATTTGTACAAATAAATAGTTTTCTATCTATCTATCTGCCTACTCCTGACTCCTGTGTACCCAAGGAGCGGGAGATCCACCCCGGGATGGGATTTTCCACCCCGTCATAAAAAAAACGGCCTCCCCATAAAAAGGAGGCTTTGGCCTACTATACCACACTGGCCATGGTTTGTTTCAAGTTTTCCATTTCTTTGTAGTGCTGTTTCCGTGTCCGGCGTAGTTTGCTGACTCAGTTGGCTCTTACGACACGCACAGGATGAATAGGGATGGTGAGACTGCTGTATATATACTTACTTTTTTTAATACATACATATTATACGAACAAACTGCGAAATTTGGTTGACCCCGGAATCGAACCCGAGACCCCAACACAGCCCACCACTGCACCACCGAGGCAGTCAAAAATATAAATGGGTACTTTTTATAATTGGGGAACAGATGTTTTTAGTGGTTATAAGTTATATCCTTTCCTATGCTCCTCGTCTATACAAATTGTCATGATGATCGACTCAGTAGGTAAGAAATTAAAACGTAACAAGCGAAATAAACTTACTATTGAATTTATAAAATAGGAGTTCAATCCATATGTTATGCGCGCCCATTTTTTTAAAATTATTTTTTTAATACTTAATTTTTTTTTGTTCCCTTGCAGAAATAAAACTACATTCAAAAGACAATGGCACTCATGTAGGAGACTTTTTTACCACCTTGCGTATCTCATGGTGGGGATTATTGTTGTATTAATTAGGCTGGTAATATCATCAACAATTACAGTTTTAATTACCAGATTTTTAGAACTATGCGTTCAAAATTTATTTCAGTTTGTAGTTTGCACACAGGCTGTACTGAAGTCGATACCAATGACAGCTGGCTGTCACAAATGAGGTGTCATTGTTGTCAACAAGTTTACCTAGATATCTTTCAAAATCATTCGTTTATGATTTTCTTGAGCGGTCAATAAAACATTATGCTGTCAAAGTAGTTATTGCAGTTGTAACAATTATTTGAGAATAATTTGTTTACTTTTAGCATATATAGTTCTACAAATATGATAATTACATGAAAATAGTTAGGATGAGTCACTTTATAAACGGTACAAATCTCATAACCATTCATCATATAATCCTAGGGGTACATGATCTGTCGGGGTACCAGGTATTTCCTTTCTAGGTTCCCCGGTTACTGGTACCCGAGACGGCGTGCGGTTTTTGGTCCGACATAATCACCCCACTGGTGGGTGAAAACATACATACATGATCTGCATACTACATATACCAAAACCCCAATTCTCGTAAAAAAAATTCGCTTTCAATTTAATTCCGATGAACTTTCGATCTCACAACTGGCATAAAAGGTATTTTCGTAGTAAAATAATAAAGTATTACTAAGACCAGCAGATAACCGATTCAATTTTCGGTTACAATGAGATATAATCACATTACAGCGTACGTTGGAATTTTATTACTTTACTACAAAAATACCTTTTATGACAGTTGAAACCTTGATGAGAATGATCGGAACTGAATTGAGACCGAACTTTTATTACGAGAATTAGTCTTCAGGTTTTAAATGCTTTACGAAATTAATTAAATAAAAGATGTGTAATATGTTGCTACCAATAATCACTAAGCAAAAAGAAAGAAGTGACACCAATTTGAAAAAAGAAAACCTCTCTCAGAACACTCCAGAACACTAAATAGGTGACTCTGTCGGTAAAAAATAAAATCAGCTATCGATCTTAATAATGATATTTGGTGTGGTGCGGTAGCGGGATAGTTGGTGCTCCTTGGGGGAGGCCTACATCCAGCAGTAGACGGTGAACAACAAAAATTGACAAATTGATTTTTTGCCCTTTTGATTTTTCATTGATATTTTTAAGTTCGATTTTATCATTAGTACTCGTACCTTCAAATACATCACATAATCCACATTTTATAAAGAGTAGCACCAACAACTCCAAGATTTGTTTATTGGCACTGGTTACCTATATTTGTAGACATAACAAATTAAACAAAACCAAAATTCAATAAAAGAATCATTTATTTCCTTTATCGTTGATTTTTTATTTACATTATTTTCATTTAATAAATAAATAAACTATCATTAAATCACACTAATGACTTATTCAGTCTTGGCAACGACCTCTTCGGTCTTCTGTTCCTTTATTTCTTCTGCAGGGACAGCATCTTTCTTGATCTCATTTGAAGGTTCGTTTTCACTTAGCCTGCTGCCGCTGATGTCGTTATTATCGCCTTAAAAAAAAAAAACAAAAAAAAAACATTAATAAGTTACGATGTTATCGACACAAACTGGAGCATCACTATTCTTTATACCCGCTATTCCTGTTCCCCAAATTATATTTCGTGTTGTAACTACATTAAGAAATGATTTGACGTTAGAGACAATAAAGATGATACATAAATACATTTGTCAGTAAATGTCAAATTAATATGACTATTAGTTACGATTTAGTCTAGTATACTACAGCACACGATATGAAGATGAGGTTGATAATTAACTTTTATCTCACCCGAAGAGGTAAGTTATCTGTTTCATATTTTAGCTTTTTTAAAAAGGCAACCAATTGCCGCCAATAATCAGTCATTTATAATCATTTGTTCATTTGTCAACAAAGCATTTTAGGAATTAGATTTGATAATTAATAGTTCTATGTGAATCAAAAATTATGTAAGGATAGAAGGCAATATTAGGAAAAAGGAAATTGCAGGTACGTAAATATCAAAAAATGTTAGGTAGCAATGGCGGATATCTCTAGGTTGAACTGGCTTACGATGAAAAAATCGAGCACTATAAGTCGGGACGACGCTCGTCTACACGACGGTTGCTACACGGTCCCGCTCCCGTCCCGTCGTAATACGAACACTCTCCCGTGCTGCGTACGGGCAGTGAGCGACAAATGTTTAGTGAGGGAGCACGTACGTTCTTTTTGTTTTACCGAAGCTCAGTTTCCTTGTGATACGGAAACAAGATTCATTGTTGCATTACTTTGCGGATAATGGACGACGAAAAATTAATAGAACATGTCCGAAAGTATCCTGAGCTTTATGACAAGACGCATCAAAAATACTTAGATACAAAGTTGCAACGATACAAAGTCATAATGATTGACGATATAGACACAGTACCTTAGGTTCTTATTATTCTATTCTTATTATTCTTCTTAGGTTCTATTATTAAAAATGTCCGGCCGGTGAAGAAAAGTAATTGTTAATTTTTTCTCTGACCGCAAAGGCATCGTTAGTAGATTGTCCGTGATGTTGTGGTCGTAGTTGATCAAGTATGGACTGTCTTAATTCTAAAGTATGAGTCGTAGAAGGCTTTTTTCTTTGTAAAAGAGTATCTACCTATTTTCTCTTAAGGTATAATAAATGAAAGACGTCAAATAGAGGTTATGGTCTGCCTTCTTGAATGTGAAAGCTACTTTGTGGTAAAAGGTGTTAATCATTGTAAAGAGTCCATGTGGGGACAATTGTAAGGAGAAATGCACTTTCTAGATGTAAATTTGTTTGTTAAAATATTTTGAACTCTGCCCGTATTGGTTTACACTACAATTTGGTATAGCCTACCGGTTTAAAGTTGTTACGTTTAGAATTGAGTTCGATTAAAATTTCGCTTTATGGATTTAACGACGTTTTATTTCATTTTGAAAATTTATTGTCTTATTTATCCTTATTGACGTTCTTAAATTGTATTTGTATGTTTACATAATGTTACCCGCGGTTTGTATGTTTAAGTTTTTTTTTAAATTTACGCTTATTGCCGTGGGTGCGCCACGGGCCGGCTCGATCGGAGTGATACCATGGGCTCACACAAAAACGCATGTTTAGCAATTGTTTCACTTCACCCAGGTTACCAGAAACCTAAACCCCCATCTTTTATTAATTTTCGCAGATAATGATTGTGGCAGTATGGCAAACAACTCACATTCCTATTTACTATAATAATAATAATATAATAATATTCTACCACATTTACACAACGCCATCTAGTCTCAAAATAAGCAGAGCTTGTACTATGGGTACTAAACAACTAATATAAATACGTAATATATACTTTTTTTTTGTAAATACATACATATTATACATAGAAACACCTAGACCAAATTAAACATTGAATGTTCATGCACACAAATGTTTGATTTTAGCGAGACTCGAACCCGCAACCTTTGTAATAGCAGTCCGTTACACAAACCACTACGCCATACGGTCGCCATAATACTCATCTTATCTATACCTATACATCTTCTATACAAATAAATAAAATTGAAGTGTCTGTAATATCAAAATGATAGGTTTTTTTCATGCTCACACGGTTATTTGCACGAAATGCCTAAAAACCAGTTTTATTTTTTTTTGTCTGCCTCTCTGTCTGTTTGTTGCGTATAATCTTCTAAACGGTTGAACCGATTTTCATAATATTTTACTACCAGGTAGCTGTCTATATAAGGAGTAACTTAGGCTATTTAAAACGCTTTAAATTTTTACCCGGTCCGGGCATGGAACCCACAGAAACAAGACTTAAACGCTACTTAATTAGCGTACATTGCGCCCAACTATTACGCGTTCGTTCCACTAGAATAATTCATAAAAACTAATTTAATTACGTATAGTTTGTCTTACGCAAGTTATTGTTACACAAAACACTAGTTGCACCTATAGAATACAGTGTCCAATGTTCTTTTTGATTGACTTTGATGAAGAATTAACCTAGAAGAAGAAGAATTGGTCATAAGAGTCGATCACTAAAATATGTTTACGCTTTTAATACTTTGTAGCGTGGTCATTATTCTCTATACGGATCGAATAGGAATCTTAGTTTTAGTGTTGGTTCTCAACACCATAAGTAATAAACAGAGAACTATACTATACAATGAAAGTGATCATCAAAGGGGATACGTCTAAAATTCATTTAATATTATTTACCTTAATACTGTGTTTATTTACATTTTAGAAACTTATTTCATTGGGTTAATTATATTATGTATTCAAGGTAAGCAGATATTGTGTTGTACGCAATCGGAGTATATAACGTAATCAATTGTTCAATCTAATAAATGTTTAATTGTTATAAGAATAAAATCGCATTTAATATTAGATAACTATTCACCTAAATGTTTTGGAATTGTAAGAATTTTCGCAGTAATAAAATGTTTTATTTTTAACCTGAAAACAGTTAAAGTTGTTAAATAGACTATTTTAAAAGTTGTCGAGAGACTAGATATTTCTGCCCTTGTCATACTCATCATCATCAACAGCCTATAATAGTCCCACTGCTGGACATAGACCTCTCCTTAGAAAGGAGGTATTGGCCAGACGTGTTGGTATAGGGTTTGTTTCAAGTTTTCCCTCTTTTTGCAGTGCTGTTGTCCTGTGCAGTTTGTTCCCTAAGTCGGCTCTTACGACACCCACGGGATAAATAGGGGTGGTTATTTCTTACAAAAGCATATTAATAAATCTTCCTGTAAAAGAAATATACTATGGAGACGACGAATGAAATATTTATGGTTTTTAGTTTACAAAACACACATTTATGGGTTATTGCCACAATACAAACACACGGCGACGAAGCAACACATAGAACACAAAACCCACAGACCGACACAACCCTTGTGTATAATACCTGTATATTCGTGCCGATAGTATTAACGAAATTGTTTAGGGCAGTGGAAATAGTCCCTGCCGTGCCGTTAATGGCGGCAGAAATACTGGTTATCAGGCCCGTGGTGAAAGTTCCAAGTGCTGTCACTGCAGAAGAAGTTTTACGGCTAATTTTAATTAGCGATTTTGTCCAAAATCATTTAAAGAATTAACATCATGTATATTGTACAGATAAAATGTTTTGAAAGACATTTTTTTAAGTCAGCTGTAGTTTTAAGGTCGAGTTTACTGTTGTTAAGCATAATTTGTGGTTCTCTTTAAAGATCCTTAAAATAGAATCACTAAACTGTCATGAAGTCATGTTAGTGTCTAGTTTTTTTACTAAAGTCAAATTAAAACAGTACGTTCTGGAGAAATGTGTACAAAATAATAAGTGATGACGAAATACGAATTATTGAATAATAATAATAAAACTTCTGAATAATTACTTCACACATCTCACACACGGCCGTCTGATTCCAAACTAGGCAGAAAATGTGCTATGGTAACCACGAAAGCTGATAAACCACAAACAATGATAGTGCTCATCACACAATTATTTGTACTGGGTGGGAATCGAACCCACGACCTCCGGCTTAGCAGTCAGGGTCACTAACCACTAGACCAACAGGCCCGTCATTACATTAATGTTTATTATTGTGTTAAAAAGAATATCGAATATAGTTTTTCAGTCACATGTGATACTGATTTTAATTTTATGAAAACTGTTAATTATTAAATTAATACAAAACTAATTCTGTGACCATATTGAGGAGGAAACTCGTTAATAGATTATAAAAAAACATTTTCTTTATCTATTACCGATCGATATGACATCAAATTATTAAACTAGCTCAGTGACAAAAATTAATTGTTAAAACCTATAAATCTGTGTTTTATCTCTGGGGTTGCATGTACACACTAGTATGGGGACAAAATTTTAGTATATATTGTATAGTTTGAGGTCTGTGCTCAAACTATACGTTGGACCTGCAGTTCGGTGTCCTTGAAAACCCCCATGTAGAACCCACTGCTGACATATATGGAAGATAAACATAAGAAGGAGGGAGATACAAAGTTGTGGTACTACACCAGTACCGTTGTCGTGTGAAAGAATAAGTTCACATGAGAGTATATAAAGGTACCCTTTAGTATGATTATCAAAAGTAGAGTGTTACCATGAGGGAACCTCGTTGAATCACATATTCTTTAATAGTACATTGTTACTTACCAGACCCACTTGAATGCCCTTTCTTCTTATCTTCACTCTCTGGCACTGGCAGAATCTCTGGCACCTTCTCCTTCTCGCCGTCTCTTGGTTTCTGTGGGTTGTTGATATTCTGCAATCTCTGCACGGCAGCAGCGACGCCTTGGCTTATTGGGTTGTTTTGTAATATCTGTCTGATAGGTCCAGGTTGAGCAACAGGCACTGCTTCAGGGACAGTTGCTTGCGAAGCACTCGGCGCTTGGTCATTTTGGGAAACTGTTATTTGGTTGCTATTATTTGGTTTTTCGGCCGAAGTCGTGTCAGTTGGTTTGTTCGTTGCAGAGGAAGATAAACCAGGTATATATAGCGATATATTTTGTACAATTTGGCTGAATGAGGATTGAAGAGCATTCATTGCTTGCACGATAGGACCCGATCCAGATCCCAACCCTCCAAAAGGACCCCCCGACCCTGGTGGGGTCGTTCCTTGACCTTCAGGTGGATCTGCTTGTGTTCCCGCAGGTTGGCCGGCTGCTGGAGCTGCTGAGCCACTCTGTCCGGGTCTGAAGGGACCCGGAAATATTAAATTAGAAATAGTATTGTTAAAGTTGTTGATTCCGTTTTGAACGTATGTTTGAAAACCGGTAAATAAACTTAGTATGTTATCAGCAGGTGAGGGGTTACTTGGCGATGGAGATGCACCAGAAGCAGGTTGATTTGATTCTTCTTTTTCATTCTGAGCTCTGAGAGAAGACAGTACTTCGACACCTTCAGTCAACGTTTTCACTCTCTTATTAAAGTCATCTTTAATTGTATTTAAACCTGTCTCTATTTTTTGGATGTTGGCTTTGGTTTGCTCCTCATCAGGGCTAACAGCGTTGGAGCTGTCAGCCTGTAAATAGGAGTGGACCGTTCCATTCAATTTGTCGATTTGGGAAATGAAAGCTTCTCGCAGTTTTTGAATATTACCCTGAACACCCTGGAGCTGTTTATTATTACCAAACAAGTTTTGGATGCCGTTACTGATCCCCTGAAATTCTTGCTTTAAAAACACCTGCGCGTTATTTAAGTTCTTCTTATAAGTCTGGATAAAATCCTGCTCGGCCGAATAAAACCCGGGGTTTTGTGTTTCATGCTCTTGACGTTGTGGCGGTCCGGGGTTTCTTAGGTCCACAGCTGGTCTGATGATTTCTTCGGACTCGTCCCTGGTCTTTAGAGCCTGTTCTACGTTTTGAACTTCCACAGGAATTTTAGCGGGATTTGTACGTAATTTGTTGTCAATATCATTGATAGCGATCGTTTGGTCGATCTGTCCTTGATTGCTGGATGCAATTTCCTGATTTTTCTCTACATTTTCCTGCGGGATTTCGAGTTTTTTCTCGATCGCGACGTTGTCGGGTATCGTAGCGGCGCGTGCCGCTGATGCGGACAGGACGAACAGTAGAAACGCGTATAGTCGCATGGTTGGTTGCGCGGTACACTACGGCGGGTGAGTCGCCTCCTTCATTTATACAAGTAAGGTAACGGTACTCTGTTGGCCGCCACAGTCTATCCATGTTTACGCTTTCCGTGAGTCGCTTGGCACTAAATGTTTTTGTCATTATTTGTATTTAATTTTGCTAACACAGCGTCGCCGTGTCTATTGTACGTTTTGTTATAAAACTGTTTAGATTGTTCAAATAAAAGATATGATAATACAGATAGCTATACTCGTAAATACATTATTATTATGTTTCTGTTCCTTATCGTAATCAATCTAATTCAAACAAAGAAGGAGTTTCCCAATTCGGTGGTTTTTCTGTTTATTATTTCAAACTGATTTATAAAAAATATTTTATTTCATTTGAAAGGGGTATATAGAAAGAAAGAAAGAAGAAATAAAATACTTTAATTGGCACATTTTACAGAATTTTTACATATTTACAAAAGAATGTGAATAAATTACATCTGCACTATATGTATAGGCCACATCTCAGCTTAATGCTTGCCATAATGCACCTAGCGCTGGTTTTCGGTGTTCAGCGGTGTTGCCCGCGTGTCTGTTCGATAGTGACCATCCCTGGTCAAATTTGAAGAAAAAATGCTATCGCTAAAGTGGCAAATTAAGGCATTACGACTACAGTTTCTTACAATTCATCATGGATATACTTTTGCAAAAGTTAATTATTAAAGAAATAGTTTAGGTGTCTGTCGAATGATCACGGGCATATTTTGTTGTTTATTGAGTAAATTAACTAAGACAATACTAGTCATGGTATGTTATTATTTAAAAATATCATCATCATCAACACGTATCGTCGTTCACTGTTGAACGAGGGCCTCCTCTAAGTAGCGCTAACCATCCTGGTCTTGGCAGCACACAAGTTTTCATAGATCCTGGGTATCATGTAGCACCAAAGTGTGAGTACTTTGGTACTACATAACGAAACAAATGTTAGAGGAGCCCTCCATCAAGAGGCAAATTGAGCTTCGGGACATACTGTAGCAAAAAAGGCATACTCTAGCACTCATACTCAACTTAGAAGTTCAGAATAAAACGGCTTATTATTATGTACTAGCTGGTACCCGCGACTTCGTTCGCTTTGACTTTGCAAAGCGCTACCTTAGTGGAATCGATTCCGGGAACGGGCAAAATTTCAAAGGGTTTTTCTGAGATGAATAATTGCCTAGATTACTCTTTATATAGACAGATATAGATATAGACCTGGTAGTAAAATATCATCAAAATCGGTCCAGCCACTGCCGCTCTTACCCTTAAAAGCGGCACTGGCTGTGACCTTAAACGCTAATGAAACTGCGGGAAATAGAAATAATATATATATCTATACTAATATTATGTTTTGAAGAGTATGTTTCGTGGAACGCGCTAATACCAGGAACTAAGTTGTGTGTATTAATGTTGTTATTTCAAAAAATAATTACCTACCTCAGTATTTTAACGTTATTTGTTTTAAAAATTATTAATTACACTTGATATTTACTGAATTTTGTGTGTATTTACTGAGTTAAATTTTGATAAGAAAATGATGTCAAGTTTACTTACCTACCCAACCGGAAAGTTTTAAAAAATATTAAAAAATAGTAAATATTTTGTGTCAATAGAAATAAAAAAACTAGAGGTGGGATTTTTAAAGTAATTTGGCTATGGGGGTCTGAGGTATCAGCTCATTATGGCAAAGGGGTCTCCTGTCGAAAATAGTTTGAGAATCCCTACTATAGACCATATAACATCACGCTACCACCAATAGGAGCCGAGCGATACTTATAAGTCGCTTTTAATTTAATCCTCATTTACATAAATAAAAATTACACTTTTAATGAATGGCGCGTCAAGGAAAGCCATTAATATTATTTCAGTAATAAATAAGTATGTTAATTAGTAATTTTATTACACTGGATGGGGTTAGTAGAATAGGTTTTCTATTAGCGAATCGTAAACTTGTTTATATAAATATAATGTAGGTAATATGTATATTTGTTTTACCGTTAGTCTGTAGCATTTAAATGTTTATCCTTGAGTCGAACTTTAGATATGTATGAATATACTTGGCTTACTTGGCTGTGAGTAAAAAGTTGGCATTGGGGTTTTGCCGCGCAATATTTTCAGAATCAAATGAATTTATTTCAACATTGGATATAAAAATACTGAATCATCTTTTTTGATTCATATACAAATTAATTTAATGTTGGATTATAATACAATTGAAACATCCTATCACCTTGATTCAATATGAATCCCTTAACGGGTGATGGCCTCTCTATTCTCCATGTCTCTCTGTCCAGTTTATATCAGCTTTTTTTTGACGACCGGATGGCATAGTGGTTTGTGTAACGGACTGCTATTCCAAAGGTCGCGGGTTCGATTCCCGCTCAAGTCAAACATTTGTGTGCATGAACATTTAATGTTTGATTTGGTCTGGGTGTTTCTATGTATAATATGTGTGTATTTACAAAAAAAAAAGTATATATGTATTTATATCAGTTGTCTAGTACCTATAGTACAAGCTCTGCTTAGTTTGGGACTAGATGGCGTTGTGTGAATGTAGTGAAATATAAATATATATAATATATTACGAGGGTCATGCTGATGACGCATTTGCCTTACAGCCCGGACCTCGCACCCTGCGATTTCTTTTTGTTTCCAAAAATCAAAGACAAACTTAGAGGCACACGTTTTACGAGCTTTGAATCGGCGGTGAATGCGTTCCATAAAGCCATTGAAGAGTTCCCTAAGGAAGACTGGTCCAACTGCTTTGTACAGTGGTTTCAGCGAATGCATTAATTACGAGGGAATATACTTAGGAAAACAATAAGTGTCTTAATCTATACTCTTATTTATCAGAATGCAGAAACTTACAGTATGCCCTAAGTATGTCATAAGCCTACTTTTATCTCGGAATATCACATTTTATTTTGTTTGGTAGTTCTGGTCTTGTTTCAATTCATTATGTGATTCCAATTCAATTCGATTACTATTTATTTTGTTATCCATTCAATGAGATAAAAATATTAAAACCATTCATTATAACTTAATCGATTTGTATGATGTACACGCATTTTATTTATAACATACTTCTCTAATGTATGTGTCACAAAATCGTCGAAGTTTTGGTACTAATATAATGTTAATATCAGAGATTTTGTACGAGTAGAAATAGAAAGAAATAAAAACGAAAAACATTTATTTTGTTACCCACAAAGATGAAAGTAACTTCAATTAATGAATCAACAAGTCTTTTATCCTGAATATTTTAAATGGATTTCTGTAGTTAATATTAGTTTCAATATCTCATCTCACTCATTTACACATAATAATTTTGACTGCACGGATGGCGTAGTGGTTTAAGCGGTCGCCACGCCGCTTCCTACTACGCCGAGTGTTGTGGGTTCAAACCCCACATGGGACGACACTTTGTGTGATCCACAAATTGTTGTTCTGAGTCTGGGTGTTCTTTGTGTCCGTTTCATGTATGTTTGTAAAGTCCCCTGCGACACAGGATTTATTCCTAATGCGGGAGTTGTCTTTTTAAAAAAGAATTAAAAAAAAATAAATAGATCTGTGTTATATGCCAACCTCACGACCTTTGGTAATTTCTTTGGGAACGATTATGTAAAATTTAATTATACTTCCATTTTCAATTATACATAACTACGTAATCAAAACACGTCCGTTTATCTAAATAACAGGGACATTTTGTGTAGTATGGTGAGAAGAAAATATAACCATTACTTGTTAATAATGTCACCGACTTTATTGCACTTTTGTCCCTTGAGTTGCAAATGTCCATTACTATCAAGTGACCCGTATGCTTGTTTGCCCCCTACGCCATAAAACTTACACTTACAGATGAATTGTACTTAACTGTACTCTTCATGTAACGAGTGAACATTTAGATGTATTATGAATGTATTGACTGATAGAATACATATATACTTTTTTTTTGTAAATATACAGATAGAAGAAATCCAAACTCCGAAACTAATATTAGCAGATCATACAAACATTTCGTCCGACCTGGGGAATCGAACCCGAGACCTCAGCACAGCTGTCGTATACGCTACCACTGCACCACCGTGGCAGTCGAGCTGTTACTACAAATATGATAGTACAAAAATGTTCTCCTATAATGATTACAAGCTTTTTCCCGTGGCGCCGCCTGTTTTCGAGGTAAATAGTAGCCTATATTCTTCCTCAGGAATCATATCATATCAGTATGCATCTACAGGGTGTAAGGCACGTCGTAACGATTACTGAAATGGTGTATTCAGACCATTATTTTGAGTCGAAAATCATCGGAATTTTCTTTTCTTAATTTTTTTATGCAATCAGCTGTCAAAGGTTTACGTCATTCCCCGTAGGTATAGCACAAAAGTTATAACTACATGTGTATTCCGTGCAAAGAGTCTACACACACTAACACAAGTTGGCGGCCGTAGGGGAGGCACCACGCGCTTCGGCTTTTTATTTATTTATTTATTTATTTATTAATACATTTACAATAAAACAATTTACAAAAATTTGGAATTAACAGCGGTTTCCGCACTAAGCTCGTAGCTTGTATCGCGGCAACCAAGTGATTACACATTGCTCATTGTCATTTTGTAGCGGACAGCGGTTCTAAGAATAGTTACATGGGTTTTATAGCTTAGTTGGTTAAATAGAAATTCAAAAATAAACTTACAACAGGTTTTTAACATTACAATACGACACCGGATGGCGTAGTGGTTTGTGTAACGGACTGCTATTCCAAAAGCCGTGGGTTCGATTCCCGCTTAAGTCAAACCTTTGTGTGCATGGACATTTAATGTTTGATTTAGTCTGGGTGTTTCTATGTATTATATGTATGTATTTACAAAAAAAAGTATATATGTATTTATATCAGTTGTCTAGTACCCATCGTACAAGCTCTGCTCAGTTTGGGACTAGATGGCGTTGTGTGAATGTGGTACAATATTATTATT